TAATCATGAGAACATACAAGTACAGTTCAAGTTATGATCACCTCACCTCTGTGAACCACATATGACGACAGTGGTTACATTTTATGTAAGAATATCCCCAAGAAGGCTCTGTATGACGTTTTGGTTCACTGGGGTTTATCATCAAACCTAATATGAACTCACTTTTCCGTTTAAAGCATCACTCTACGGACAAAAAACCATGATTATTTGTGAACCATAAAGGAGACAACATAATGAATTAAATATCATGGAAGTGGGTAATTTACGCCAATTCTCTAACCTGACAAATATTCTTCTGACAAACTGCTAGATTCATGAGTGTTTCGTGCTTAAACATATGATGGTGTTCCCATAACCCTGTTTCACATTGATTCAACGAAGATTGAAAAGTAATATCAGTAAATTTACACATTATACAAAGCTCACACTATATTGGAACAAATCGTTCTTACGTCAAAGTAGCAATGTTTAATGACTAAACAGTGAATTATAAATCCAAAATGGCATACCAGTCATCAAATACCTAAGATTAGAAGTAATCCAATCAGCCCGATGACGAATATGCTCCAACCCATTCTACTATCTAAACAGCCAATGATAACTAAAGGTTAGATCATTCGAAATTCAACCTATCACTCGTCAAGGTTATAATTGCCAAAAAAACGTAGAGACGCATTTGGCAAGGCTTAAATCCGTGGGCGTTATTTCGATACCTTTTACATAATACGCATGTGATTACGGATCAATAGGCTGAAATGAATTCCAAATTAGACATGTTTTTATGATTCACTGATGTTAATTTGATCTATTATAAGTAACAAATTATGTGGAAATTGATTGCGTTAACAAAATAGAACATTTCTAAATTCAGCATTAGGTTATTTTCTAAATTTACTATAGGATACTATATTTGGAGTAACTTTATAGGCCACCCTAGCAACTGCCGAAATAACCAATCAAGTTTCGATACATCGCATGCAATGGTTAATTTTTTATAAAATAGAGAGGCCTATTTGGTTATCTTAGTGGATCTAGAATGGCATTTTAGTCACTGTGGCTACGGTGACTCAGCCACATTTATGTTCCTAAGGTAAGTTCTATCTTCATACTCTGGATGAGTGCCTCAGTAAAACGTAAGATGCTTGTTACTTTAGCTTGACTTTGTATGCCTAGCAGGAGTAATTTAAAAGCCACCCTAGCAACAACTGGAATAACCAATTCTCTATTGTATGAACATCTGACTTTTCAAACGAAATGAGGATACCTAACTGGTTGTTCAACCCTTACTAGGGTGGCCTTTGAAATCGCCTCCTAGGTCCTAACAACTAATGAGATAAACAACTACGGTCCCTTATTTTTACTAAAAACTAACTTCCCATCTGAAATTCTGAAATAACTAATTAGGTTTCTTCATTTAGTCTGAAAAGGAAGATCTTCATACAATAAGCAATTCTGATTGGTCACTTCAGTCGTTGCTAGGGTGCCTGTTAAAGTCACTCATAATCCAGTAGGATTGTTGTCACTCTACTGGTATCTAACTTAATGTCACAAAAGTAACCTGTAATTCACACATTCTAATTTCAAAACGTCATTTGGTCAATTTATTTAAGAAAAGATGAAACTACAGCCCAAATATTTGTGTTAAATGGTTACCACTTGTGTTTTATAAAGCTGTTAACTTTTCCAAAAATCAGAAGCCAACTTCAAATGAAACTTTAAAATCTAAAGAACTGCAAGCACAGTATTCCTTTGAAAAAAGTCTGTAAACACTAAAAAACAGTTTGTATTAAATATTTTACTTTGATAAGGAACATAAACAGAAGGTTTCTTTCTCACTTATGAAAATATTTCGTAAGGAGCTTTCGAATGAACAGTGCAAATACTCTTAGAGGAATGCACATGAATATACTGAATGTCGTTAACACTTAGTCACTATGATGTTTATAGTAGACTTGAGGATAGGAAATAATATACGGCGTGTCGTATCAGATCAACTGTAGTTGTAGTGGTTATCAATAGTAGCATTCATAACTGAACTAAAATTATAAGATAAGCACAGGACATTGTTACTTCATCGTTTATGTTATTCAGATATATTTATTCTAATCTCCAAAGTCAGCAGTTTAGCTCTTCAAAACTAGTGTATTTGTATGTGTCAAGAAGGTTTCATCTGTAAAGTATGTTAAGCACCAGAAAATGAAAAGCTTTGGGGCAAGGTTTCATGCCAGTTAACACTCATCAGCATGATGTATCAACTACCTCAGCTGTTGGTACTGTCACCATTCAATGCTGAAATCAGAAATTGTACAGATAAACAACTCCTGTTATGATTGGTCATTTCAGGAATAGTCACTGAATAGTAACTATCTAAATCTTCTTTCTTGTTTAAATTTACCGATCAAGTTCACAGTGTGGCTCCAAAGCTAAGTGTTTTGAATGTTAAGAGTCAATCAACAAAAGGTGAAATTAACCAACGACCACCAGGTTTCAGACCCGATACTTTAGCAGCTGACCTACAAGGCCTGGCTGCTGACTGCATTTCTGTTTCACTTCAGTTACCAAATGACCGAATGCCAGGTGAATTCATGATACGTTATTACCACTTTATCGTACTCCCACTGGCTGCCTATTTAGAATTTCCCACCCAAACTTGGTGGTCGTTGGTTCAGATACTCTTGCGGCCCAAATTTCCATTTCACCTTCAATCACTATCTAGTATCAATAGTAGTCTACCAAACCACGGCTCACTCAGTCAAAATGATAAACTATAATTATCACTGGTACTATGAAAGACTAAACAGTTAGATCAAAGTACTTGACATGAGACTTGAATCTGTGGTCCAACAAACAAGAGTTGATTGCCGTGATAACTGACCGAATCGCATCATTTCCTTGTTATTAAAGAAGGTTGACTACCTGTGAACAGCAAAGTATGATCAAATTGTGACACAGTACTAAACTATAGAGTCGTTTTCTATGCAAAATCTGCCTAGACTTTTGATTTAACTGATCATAAAAGTTACCGCTTTCGGTTAATTACTGTATTACAGCACAAAAGGTTCTATATTCCCATTGATAGACCACTAGAAATCAGTCCATCAGGTCAGTGGACTTTCAAGCAGTTACGGTTTCGAACACCACCCTGCCTACTGAGGTTCGGGGAGCCAGGTAGTATCGTCAGCCCTCACATAGTAAGTGTCGCTTATCACCTACTTCACAAATTTCCACTAGGTTCCTGGGTGGATTTTGATTCGATTCGCATGTAGTAAAGTATCACTAACTTCACATTCACTTTCTGTTAACCACTTACTATTATTAGTATCCATAGCGGTAAAAATGATCCACTGAGTTCACAGTCCCTGACTTCAGTTTCCGATAAAGAAAGTTATAACCAAGAGCATTATTTCAAAATTAGGGGTATAATGAAGGGAATCATAAACGCAAAAATTAAACTGAAGACATATGAGAGTTAATTAAGGGACATGATTCATAATATAATATCAAGGAAATAAAAGTATAATCATTAGTACTACTTCACTGGTAAATTTTCTGATTTAAACAAGAAGAATATGAACTCGAAGTGCAACTAGTAATTTTGACAGGCAATTGAGTTTTGCCTTCTGGTACGACAGACACTGAACCAAGTCTATGGTAATGAATCAGTATGTATCAAAGATAGTTACTTAAGTGTTTGTAGAAAATTCTCTGTACAGTCACTTATTCAAAATCTCTGGTTAACACTTACGTCGAAGAAAACTGTATTCGTGTAAAATCTAAGCAAAACATACGATAGGCAAGTAAAGTTAACTTATATTTTCAGTATTTAGAAGAAAAACCCAAAGTTGACAACATAAAGGAAGTAGAATCGATTCCTGTTCCAAATGCGTTTTATGCTTCGAGTTACATTTTAATGGGTACAGTCAATAAACTCAGTTCCAGATAACTGAGTACGTAGTTAAACCTACCCGATGATGAGAGTAATATCTACTTACTATAGTGAATCAGTAGAAATATTTAACAGTAATTTTTTCTTTATGAAATGATGCAGAAGGGGGAAAGTCTATAAACTATGGAGCTATAATATCAACCAAGTCGCTGAAATATAAAGGTTTCACCCCGAAGATAAAACAATGATGTTTCAAGAACTGAATAAGGCTTTTGGATTCCAGTGAAGTATCTAAGCAGCTGCACTCCTACTGTAAGGTTTGTCTGTTCTGAGTTCAAATGAACTGTTTGACGATGGTGTTTACTGCTAGAGTGACGAATAAGGAAAATGCAGCCATCATGCGCTGGTTCATTACCATAGTTACGCCAGCCTTTTATCAGTATCTGATGAAGTACCTTCAGACCGATCATTTTTCTAAGAACTACCAATTTCTTTACTTAAAGTCACTTTATTGAAAGTACTTACTGGCAATTTGTAGCCACCTGAAAGCTGAACTTGATGATTAAATATCTGTGATGCAAATGAAGTCTAAAATGTTTCAAATACAACTGGTAAGACTATTCAAATCTCCTCACAACAGGAAAAAAGTGACTAGGTCAAAATGAGTTTTCTGATACCCAGAAGCATATTTGAACATGTAGCACTTACACGGAAACCTCTTTGGAAAGGAAATATTTCAAGTGATTTATTAAGCCTCATTCGAATGAAAATTTAAGGGAAAATACTAAAAAATCACACCCACCACTTTCGTCTAATAAACGTCAGCTCTAATGCTAGCGGTAGTCATTTTTGTCACCTAATAATGCCAACAAAATGATGGGGTGTGGACCATTATGTCTGAAATCAAAATAATATGTTGATTGGTTGATTTCAAGGTTAATGAAAGCCACCTGTTCACTCCCTGTTGGTTGACATATTTAGTTAAAAATTGTAGTTACTTAAAATAACAATGCGTTGGTGGTATGCATTCTATTGGTTACAGATGACTCGTACTTTTCAGCAAGATAAATACACGACCATCGCACATTTTACGCATGTTAGTGAGTGAACGAAGATGTTACAGATGCTGAGTAGTAGTGTAGTCGACTGGATGCTACCAACAGGTGACATAAAGGCAGTTTTCAACGATATACCTACTGGGCATACACCAACTAATTCGACAGATGAAAGTTTTCGAGATTTTTCAAAATGGGAGAATTTAAATACTCCGACACCTCTTGACAAAGAGTCTGATTACTTTATCTATCCACCGAATTCAGCAATTAGAGGTGAGTTCAACTTTCACCCTATGATATATACAATATAAACACTTTACAAGCACGCATTGAAAGTCGTTATCTTTTCTTTTCGTTTCAGTCGAACCAATCGTTGGAGTTGAACAAAATATACATACTCAAAATATTGTGGGATGTAATACTGATAATTTACAGATACCTGGAGCACAGTATATAAAACCTGATGATGATTATTTGACTCAACCACCAATTCAATCTTCACTAGTTTACTGGAATTTAGAACCATATCCTAATACATCTCCCATTCAAGAAATCGAATCCGATATACAAAATGAAACGTTACCATTGCTATCACCTATAACTCCAGTACATGATTATGAATCAAATGTTAAAATTGATCACTGGTCTACAGACGCTATATTACACTCAACAAAATCGAACGTCGACATAATCTCTAATTATACATGCCTGTATAATAATGCATTCACTTCGATGGAGACTCCGACATCATGGGCTACATACCATGATAACAACACAAGTAACACCATTATCAGCAACAATGTCGTTAACAATAGTGTACACACAATGGACCAAAGAAACTATATGGGTCCAGAAACTATCCACACATGCTCAACGTGTCCTACTGTTATGTCAGGAAGTACTAGCGAAATAAGTGATCAGAAATTTAATCCACAGAGTAGTGAATATTGTTTTAATACTACTTGTGGAGGAGTTATGCAAGCCAAGTTATCACCTATCCATCAAAATAATACATGTCCAAAGCTGTGTGATCAACAAAAACCATTTGTTTGTGGTATGTTAAATTGTAATAAACGTTTTGTAAGAATTGATGAACTTAGGCGTCATCAACGTACACATAGTGAAGTTAAACAATTTGTATGTGATATCTGTAAGAAAGGATTTACGCGTAGTGATCATTTAATGACACATCGTCGTACACATACAGGTGAAAGACCATATGAATGTAAAATATGCGATCGACGATTTGCACGTTCTGATGAACGTAATCGTCATGCTAAAACACATATGCGTGATAGACCAAGAAGAGGACGTAAACCAAGAAATGCAATTGTACAACCAATTGTCACAACAACAACCAATATATCGTCAACAGTAACAACTAATTTCCCTATTTACAATGTACTTCCATGTTATACGATGGATTACACGAAAAATCATGCTGCATTGATGCATGAGAACAACACCAATAATAATGAGTGATATTATCTAGTCGTATGCATATATGTTATTTAAACAACTAATTTGCAACGCCTTCATCCCATCCCGCCGCAGCCCCTGTCTTATCATTTTGTACAGCATATCAAATTCTTCACTGAAACCCGATGTAAAACAATCTTTACATTTATGTAGATAGAATAACTTGATTTCCTTCATCTTGTCTCATATATTTTTCCATTCATTCCTTGATATTTTATTATCCAGATTATTGCGCTATGAAATGCCTTGTTTTGCTTTCAACATCGCATTATTTTTATTTGATATAGGTGAGTCAATTAAGATGAAATAATTTATAACAAATACATATACATACATATATTTCACTTCTTGTATTGATAACAACACAAGTAACACCATTATCAGCAACAATGTCACTGTATGCCACAAATAAATGGAGTGATTTACGGTGTGTTGAAAAGTGTCGTATCTTGTTCGTGCAAGAGGTTCGGAAGCGAAGGATTCAACGGCTTTACCATCTAGTTAATTCTCAGTAAATTTAAGTCATTTATACGTGTGTAAACATATGAGATGGATAAGTTTCCAACTTTAACAAGTGAAAAGATCACTAGGGGATAAAACGAACCTTCTGAGACTAATTGGACTGAAGGTTTCGTGAGTCGTTCCCAATGTATTCACTGCTCAGGAGATGATATTGAAGAGTTCCTTCTACTTCAGATACAAAGGATGACCCGTAGATATCACTCTGATAAAGGAAAAACACTACAACAGGTATGATTATACAGTCTATGCAAAACGTTGAGATAAAGGTATGCAGTAGCTACTATGATGCACACAGGATGACGTCCAGGTAAAAGTTAAGTGCAAGATTATGTGCATCAAATTTGTAAGATGACACATCCATACTGGAAGTATAAATGGGTCATTTATCCGATTTATTGGTTGGGCACTGGAGAGTAACCAATTTAATGCTGTTTAGCCTTGAGTGTTGACCGAATTCTATCAGTTATTTTGCAGTATGGCAACCAGGCCAGGATATTCCTCACCGCGATGTACTTTGATGGATGTTAGTTGGTTGGAGACAATCGGCAAGAAGTCCTGGTCAACCTAGGCTGCTTGACATTCTTCAGCAAGGTGTGTCAGCAACCTTGGCGGAACTGATGTCCTCTGTGGGACTCGAACTAGTGTCGTCTAGAAATGTGGTCAAGATGCTACCGCTGAGTGATTGGAGGGCAGTTGAACTCATTTAGGATTGAATTACATGCCCGATTATCATTCGGTATTCAGCTATGAAGGACCGTTAGTTACTCTTAAACAATTTTTAACTTTATGATACATTAGAGACTTTGAACTTATAAAGAGAATGAGCATATTGCAATGTAATACTAATCTTTAAGAAATTAGTTTACTTAGCATACAATATCACAGAACCAGAGTGATACGTGGTCAGAATTAAAACTTTGTTTCCCCTAACAACTACAGTACTCAGGCTAACAACAAGGTACAACCGAATAAAATCAAGCGTATACATGCAAGAAAACAACTAATTTCGTTCTGCGTTCCTAGGTGGCTAAAATAAGACCCAAAAGCCTCATAGAGTTTTGTGCACTATGAGCTTATGGCACTACGCCATTTTGCAGGTGAGAGTTAAAACAGTGAGGATTGAAAAGAACTCAAGAGAGGAAATCCACACAGCAGCCTTGTGCACTTTCATGCAGTAGGAAATGAACTACCTCGATTAGGTGAGGGCGACCAATACTACCTAGTCCTTTAAACCTCGTTGGATTCAAATCCATGACCAAACAGCCGTAGCTGCACTGAAACAGAACTTAATACTTACTAGTAGAATGCTGAGAATAATCAAGTCATAAGCTTCATTAAGGAGCATATTTATAGTTAGTGGAGCTGTGGCTTAGTGGTTCAGGGAGACGACTATTAACCAGTGTGTCACCTACCGAGGTTTGGCCGGCCAAGTAGTATCAGTAGCCCTTACACAATAAGCGTCACTTATTGCGCAGATGTGAACATGGTAGTTGAGTGAGCTTCGTTTCACACTTACAGTTATCTCCGAACAACACTACCGATGATTGTCAACTATTCTTCAGCTTCAAAAATCAAGCTAATTACATGTAATCATTCAGAAGGATTTCCCCTTTCAAGGTGCGAAAAACCATCACTCAATCAGTTTAAGATACGATAGCCTGTTCACCAACATTACCACCATTCAATCAAACCTTCACTAATACCGAGGCGATTATATGCTATATGCAAAATATCGTTTCATATTGAGTGATATGACACGACCTACCAACTGAGCTACTTGACCCAACTGGTGAACGCCACGTGTTCCATCTGACTATCATATGAATTCCTGGTACATTACTGTCCGTTCACCGTATCCACACTAGGTGCTGCATAGTCAAGACCTCCTCCCAATCCAAATCGAGTCGCCGTGACCCAGATTTTTAATTTACCTTCAACCACTACTCTGTATTAGTAATATATATCTCCTAAACCACAACCATCTCAGATAGTTAAACTGACATGGCGATCGACAAGTCAATGAATACAAATATACAGACATATGTTTTTGTTGTCAAAATCATCACATACACAAAAAAGTTATATCCCACAAACGTTGAGGATTTTAGGATGGAAAAAATTGTCTGAATATATGCAGAATCATTTTTGGTTGTTTTTGAAATAATTAAAAAGAGACAAGGTATACAGTCAGAAGGGTTCCAGAGTTATAGTCTTCATAATAGCTTGGAACTATCCATATCTGGGCAACCTTGACGCCAAACATCAGACCAATTATGCTTACGAAGACGTTGTATAAGTGTTTCCAATTGTTTACGTGAGTTACTGTCTAGTGAATCAAAACAAGTCTAAAAATAGAAAAATACAAAAGTAATACAAACATAGGACAGAATTGACTTGACTGTGGAAAATATGCCTAGAATTCGTACACAAAATTATGCATTTATTCGACCTGTTTGTTCTGCACATGGTTGAAATAAGGTGTAAACTCAACTTATTTAATAAAGGAAGTAAGTCCTAACAAAAATCAATGACGTTTAGGATAGCTCAATCGAGACTATTAACATATGAGAACAATTAAGTTACATTATAAATTGTGATTGAAGTAGGAGAGCATCGACTAGGAAATCTCCTTTGAACAGTTAGACAATAATGTGATGAATGCTATGAAATATTAAAATTCAGTAGTCAATTTTGAAACTGAGTCAAATAAGTGTACAGATACGTGGAGAGTTTCCTGATAAAACAAAATAGCTATCTAATGACGTTCAAGGCTTAGATTGATTTTCTTTCCACTGATTCTTTTATTTAAAAATAATGAATAGGTTGACAGAATGATTGTCACCTTTTTATTGAATGAGGTAATCACAAATTCAAATAGAGGATAGTTGATAACCCGACAATAATGAGAAACATAGACCTACATATTTAGAATTCTATAAACACATTGTAAATAAATGCTTTTGAAAAAGATACATGAGAAACATAAGTTATATGAAATTGTTTATACTTGTAGAGATTGAGTATCCGACATAATTGTACGTGTTTAAAATCATCTGTTTACGATAGTTCATTATTATTATTTTATCATAATATTATTCCACTATTTGTCTTTGCTGATTAACCAATCATATATACATATTTTATCCACTCACGCTTTCAAATAAGCAAAGCATGACAATGCGTGGGTGTTGAGGGAAAGGAAAAATTTTTTTACTGATTTCTAATTATAGCGATCGACCGATTAGTGGACAATAACAGTTACTAATTTTATCACAGTAGGGCAATCAACTAGTGTATGTGTTAAAGTGGTATACATGTGCGTCGTTAAATACAGACATGAAACGAAGCACTTTTAAAAAAACTTTAATGAACCATATAATAACAGTCTATATATTATAGCAACTACTTTCATTGGAGTTACACGTTTCGATTGACATTGTCCAACTTAACTGAAGCTGACTTATAAAAACATCATTTTAAGTTACTATTATTTATATTTGATTCATGTTGCAAAAAAGTTTTTTTTTAAAAACCTACCAAGATTATGGGATTTTTCTGGAACAACATATATTTAACTTGGGTAGTGCAAAACACACGAAATTATGTACAAGTAAACCTGAGATTATAGTCAAAGACAGGAGTCTGTATGCGCGGTTGCAAGGATTATCACATTCAAGCTAAGAGAACATTACACTTCCATATAAGAACAAAGGGTATGAATTAATTTACCACCTAAACAATGATTGTAATGAATATTTTGACTCATGTTAAAAAAATAGTAAATTTTCACTTCTCAACATTGTAAAAATCTTATATTAACAAATTGTTCTAAATAATACTAGCTTTGTTGGTTGATAATCTCAGTTCTAATTGCAGTTATTTCCAAAATTAAAATAAATTAAGAGCGTCATGGACTTACATCAGTTGGAGGAACATTGGTATCCTGGGAGCACTGGACAGTTGTTTCCTCCTATTATGGGACTCATCAGCAGTGGTGCACCTATGACTCCATCCACCAGGGGTCGGACCCAGGACCATCAGGCTCCGTGGTCAACAACATTACCATTGGGCCACTAAATGGGAATCCGATGATCCATATTTCCAGCTTCTGTCAGCTCACGACATAGTGCGACAATGGACCATTGGATTCCGACCGAGTGACTCAATGGTAACGTGCCGCCCACGAAACCTGAAGGTCTTGGGTCCGATCCCTGGTGGATGGAGTCATAGGTGTGCACTGCTGAGAGGTCCCATACTAGGAGGAAACAGCTGTCCAGTGCCCCCAGGTTTCTAATGTTCCTCTAACTGATGTCAGTCCATGATGAATATCAACTTGAAAAATGACTAAATCCCCGAAAACAAGAACAACTGGTTGAATTTCACCACAAACCCGTCCAGTTGGAAGGAGTGGAAATATTGTAACTGTTGATTGACAGCTTGTTTCGAACTCTGAATTGAGCAGTAAACTGTGGAAGATAGACGTGAAAAATAGTGTACCTATGCACTAGACGACAACTTATCAACAGCTGGCAGTTAACATTTTGATAGTAGAGGTGAGATCCGGCTCATACTAAGTCAGACCAACTTCCACTAAACAGCCAACATCCCCTCGAATATAACTCGCCAACAGCTTCATATACCATACCTATCCTCTACCTTACCCAGGAACATACAAGCACTGGGACAGTGTTTTTTCAGCAGGGAGAGCAGTGCAAGACACTTGATACCCTATTCACCCATTTTCTAGTTTCAACTTTCAAATTGCCTCAACTCTTCGTGAATTACTACCGTTTGTTGATTATCTTTGATTATTAGATGTAACTACATTACTTGTGCTTGCTGAAACAAAGGCTCATGTTTTTCTCTTCCCGATATTCGTGGTTACCGCAAAACTCAGGTTCTTTTATGCACCCCTATAAAACAGCATACCTCAATCTAGGACAAATCTTGTGTTTTAAATTTTACGCGTAACTCAAACGCCTCGTTTATTTTTCGAAGAGTCGCTTAGTCGTTTCGGTTTCGAATTTCTTGGAAAAAAACAATATTTAAAAGCCCTGATGATCAGATTAATACTTCAATGATACAACTGTCAAATGAAATATGCACGTAACTTTTTTCGGAGCTCAATAAATGACTTTTTGGCATGACATATAACGTGTTATCGGACTGTATATTCGTGAACATACATCGATTGACAGAAGTAGAAATGCATTTCATTAGGGAGTTCGAAGCGTAATAGACAGAGAAGAGGTCAACATATCTGACAATAACATGATCCAACCTGAAATAAATATTTCCATAAAGGTTATATGGAACCTTTTGTTTAAAAAAAATCAAGTATTCAGTTTTGTAAACGAATCAGAGTTTTATACTAAAAGTTAGCTGAATTGTCCAACGGAAAAGGATGCTGTACAGAATCGACAAAACTATCTGACCATACTTAACAGACTGTTTCTTAACCGATTAGGAGTTACATCATGTTCTGCTCATTCTGACAGATTTTCGCAATCATTATAACAAACAAGGAGACATTGGTTTTGTGCACTTTGAGCTAAAGAAAACATAACTGATGAGAACGAGAAGAAATAGACCATTTTTCCTTCATGCCATAAGTATATGACCTATAACTCTGCTTGGTCAGTCTATTTCTGTAAGTATGAAGTACTTAAAATACACCGAAGTAAAAGAAATATACAGTAAAAATACATAGAATACATACCTGTAAGTAATCTGAGTTCTGACTGTTGTCTTTATTTCTTGGAGCATTTAACCGACACAGAATAATTAGAGCTGTTTCACTGCCAACACGAACTGCACTGTTTTTATCTTTTGTCCCAACCAAAAGTATATTTAAAAAGCCAGGAATCCAACTGGACATTGGTAATTTTACACGCCAAGCAATGTGACTAGAAACGACCGTAGACAATAGGCGTATGTCAATTACTGCATGATCGAAACCCTATTCGAAGCAAAAAAAGCAACAACAGAAATGACAAAAAAAGATGAAGGCCACACATACAAAACTAAACTATTTGACACTGGTTGAAAAACCATACTCCTGGTAATCTTTTCGATTAGGGAATATTGCCAACAAAGTCCCAGTACATTATTCTCAATCCCACTGTGATACTCTTTGAAAACACCAAAGTGCGTGCCAGACCAATAGATCGTATTATTACGGTTGGATGTCATAACCAACCATTGGTTTAAACCACATACGAAAAACTTAGCTTTCTCATTGATAGTGATTAAAAAAATGACTAAGTTGTTCGCAAAATATTTGTAGGACTCACTCAAAGTGATAGAGAAATAAATTTCAAGTCAGGTAGACTGATTCAAATATTCTCAATATACGATTGCTGTTAGACACCTCTGGGGTGCATTTACATACAACCAACGAGTCCCAAATAGGACCAGACGTGTGGATTTTACTGCAAGTTACCAGGATCAATACATTATGAATATTCGACAATATCAAGGCATCCTCATAGGAGCCCATCTATTAGCAGAGATAGAGCAATTCGACACTGTTTCGTAACGGGAAATTACAAGTATCAAACAACAACTGATACTTGTTGCAGAAGAGGTGGCTTTAGTGTCCCAGAGACCTAGTGAATAACGCTTTGGCACTTGAGGTGATGAGTGCTAGGTTCCAGTCTCAGTAGGGACAACATCACTCACTGAGATGCAGGTACATCTAACTGATGATTCTCAAATAGGACGAAACGCATGTCCTGGATTCTACTACAAGTCACTAAGATGAATTTAACATTCGATTATCTACACTAAAACTTTTGTGAATAGTTGATGTGTAATTGGCTGTAAGCTGTACAGTGTGCGATGGCTAATAATACTGTCTTCTCGTTTATTTGTACTCAGCAGAGGAGGTTTAAACTCGTAGTTCAACCTTAATTATACTGTAAATAACGATGACTTTAAAACAAGAGGAAAATGATAAACTGTAATCAATCTGAACTAAGTATTTTGATCACGATCAGAGAATAATTATGGTGGTAAATTATTCAAAGCATTGTCGTTAATCATTAAAAGCACATATTCCTTTATTTATTGTGAATGGATGATAAAGAGAAAGTACCATATGAAATGTTCAACAAAAATACGGAAAACGAATGCACCACAAAGAAACTCACTTTGCTAAGAAGTTGTATCAATATACTAGGATTATAATTCACTTTATGATTCTCAGCTAGATAACCGACAAAACAGCCAATGCAGCGGTAACCAATTTGACAAACGATTGACTACAAGAGAAATAAGTGAGTAGAAAGAGAAATATATAGACAAGCAAACAAATTAGAAGTGCCAAGATTTCTTTTAAAAAACTCAGCATAATAATTGTTACTTCCCAATGACAGACGTAAATGAAAAGAAGGAAATGCCACAATTAAATTATTCAAATTAGGTGAAGTGATGTAGCATATTAAGCACTTCACGTAACTGGGAAGTTGAGTCAGCTATGATGGGTCAATGGGATTCACCATATGGTATTGAGGTTCGATTTTTGTTTTGTTTCCGGCAAACAATTGCTTCATGCATCCACAACCTTAAATAAGTGCATGTTCAGACTGAAGTCATCGATAAAAGACTCTAATGCTTACTATCATGTCGGAGTTATTTCTTCTATAGGCGATCTTGAACAACTGCACAATCGAAACTTAGAGATCCAAACTGATAATATCCAATACAACATATATAACCTATATGTCACATAATTATTAAAATGTAGTGAATTTGACTGAGATGGATTGGACATGTACTGCGCATGCAGAGCCACCACCTACTAAGACGTGCCATGCTAGGCAAGGTTCGATTAGGTTGGAAGGGGGTACAGCGTAGCAAGACGAAGATCTCGCACCAGTCCATGAAGTCTCTGACTGTTGGTCTGAATCGTATCTGGAAGATGTAGACTCCTTGGCTGCGGTCACCGAGACAACAAGAATCAGTGGTTGAAGACTCTTACTGACATGGCTGAAAATCGGTGACAGTGGCGCAGATACATTCACTCTTTGACTGACGTCTTCTAAAGCTTGAATATTTGCACTGACCGTTATCTTCAAATAATTTATTCTCTTACACAACGTTTTCTACTTCGATATCATTCTTTACCATCTGTTCTCTTTACACTACTGTGAGGTGTAGCAACTTGAGTCCATGGACTAGTGTGAGGTTTTACGTTGATTCTGTCTGTCTAATTTCGGTAAGAAAATAGTGAGTATAGTACTTTTTTGACCAACAACAATTTTAAGAGGAATCAAATCTGAAATAAAATTGACCAGAAAACCCCAGAATATAGGTTTTTTTTTACTTACTAATATTATCGTCATGAAAAGAAGTTCAATAAAGTAGTCGATATTGTTTATTAAGAAAATACAACTGATAATGATAAAAATACTAAACCTAACAATAAGTTATCCATTTGTAAATAATCAGTTGTTTTGCATATCATTCTACCCAGTTCTTGCACATTATTGTACCTACTTTTTGTTTGATTCTTCTCTCTCGACATTTCTACACATACTACTTATGTGCATTCTTATAAGTAGCTCCCAATACAATCCAAGTTCACACTTTCACAGAGAAATGAACCTGTATCATACAACCTCAAACATGCTAAGATGTAGGTTAGAAGACTGCAATTTCCTATCATGAACATAGGGAACGTTTAAACATTCTTAGGATAGGCATATACATAACATAACAAAAGACAATGTTGAAACGTTATTCATTGGTGTTTGTGATTTCTTGTAGATTATTATAATGAACTGAATAAATCGATCTCAGTAACTTATTGCTAACTTTAGTCTCATAATAATGTAGTTTACTTGGTGGTGGCTGGCAGTGGAAAAAATGATGAGCGTTTCGTCATTTTTCGAACTCGTTGGTTGGATGTACTTGTATCACACAATGAGTGGCGTTTCATTGTGGCTCGAAGTCATCACATTAGAACGTCATAAACGAGGTATTGAATCAGGCACGTTCTGGATTCCCCTGATAGCCACTAGGAAGTAAATAACATCGAAATGTCACTATCAACATTTTTGTATTTGAACAACTTATTTCATTGTTCAGTAGTTCAGTGGTCAACATTCCCTTTTTATTTGCAAAATAAGAAACAGTAATTTCACAGTTACCATATTCATTAAGATCCGCAGCATTATATGCTTCCAAGACTAAGACAATAACTAAAGGAGCTTCACATCTGCTTGCAACAGAGCAGTCAAATTCTTCAAAATGAATCCAAATATTGACCATTCAGTTGGAAAAACAGCGCAATCCATTACACTGACTAAGACAGTGATACTACTTAGCAATAGAAGTAATATTACGACTAACTATCATGCTGCTAACATAATTTATCATAATATACAAAAACAAGCAGATGATGACCGATAAAAGAGATTGAAAATGCATAAGAACTAACATTTTCATGACTACACAATTGGCTTATAAGTTTTTCTAGGCATTCACAAAAGCCTGTCTTCATTGTTTCCAAATTGATTAAAGTTTCTGGTGTATGCTTCAATGAGACAAGCAGAGCAATACCTCGACTTTGATTAAATGTCCACTGTTCATCTGAAAGATGAAATAAAGATAAGAATCACTAGGAAAAGAGAAATTCGGTGAAAAACTAACGTGCAATAATTTATAAATACATACGATTCAATTTAGTAGGAAGTTTTACTAACGATTAGTAGACGATACATTGATAACATTTTTTGAAACTAGAGAAGCAATGTTGAATGTAAACGTTTCGTTCAAAATGAAAACCTTTCAGAAATTAGTTCATTTCTGAAAGTGGTGAAAATTATATTTATTCGTATGAATGGTGGAGTGCTTAAATCTTGGGCTACCAAAAAACTTTCCACCGATTATATTTCATCAAATTCTTCCCTTTCAGTTTGCTTTTAATGTTTAAAACATCTTCTGAACTTATCATGTACTCTGGCACGTTTTAAAAATATTTTTGAATTTCCGTTTCTTAAGCGAAGAACAAAAAAGAGGAAAAACGTTCCGCCAATTGGAAATCGATTTTTAAGTGCTTAGCTACACACCATATTCCTATTCCTAGAATACTTGTATGGGATTGTGAATTTCTCTACTGACTGACTGAACTGCCACCATCAAAATTACGTTTGATTTTGTGTTAAGTCCTGAGTCGAGAACAGATGATAGTGTAACACTGGCTGTTCGTTTCACACTTATACCTTCGATGCTGTTATTAGTAATACTACGCAGACGTAATAATTATTTCTCTTAAAAACAATGCATGGAAAGCGAATTTGATGAAATATTTCATGCCGAAAATTCCATACTGTGTCATACATATTGTTTGGAATAACGCGATCATTATTATTATTTCTCAGGATACTATTAAAATCCATCAAAATCTTGTTAGATTATATAAATGAGCTTTGATATAATCCCAGAAAGTGAAAACAAGATTTTTCTGAACTTTTCGCTGTATACGCCACGGTTTCATTTTGTTAGATTGTCAGAATTTAACATGTATAAAAACAAATCATTGTTCTGATGAAACATGGAGTAGTTAGCTTCACAACAATTTGATGTACAAGGCAAACAAACGAACTAACGGATTCTAAGAATAGGATAATTTAGTAACTACGATTAGGTTTGAAAATCAGGCAGTCAGAATGAGTTTAAATATCAGGACGAAGGAACGAAAGTATGTCAGAATATTTTCAACATTTTCGAGTCAAATAATATTTGAAGTTCCGTTACCATGGTTCCATGTGATAAAAAGAAGTTAATAAGTTCTTCGAACAATCACTTGATTGTATAAGATGCTAGAGGTCTACAGCTTCATCAGGTATCAAACTCTGACCAGAAAGCACGTTTAAGACCATTTCTGTACAACTAAACGCTACTCCAAGGTTAAATATACAACTTTAAGACCAAAATACTTTCCAGGCAGTCAGCTCACACGACGTTTGAAATGAGGCATGCGACACGAAGCACCATATTTTCGAAACTGAAATTTCTAAGTACCCAGGCAGGTAGATTCTATGAAAATACTGCTGAGTATAGTTAAGTAAATTAGCTTTATCGAATTGCTCCGTTTGTGAACTCAACTATGAACTCAAGACAAACGGTGAATATTTTAAGACATCAGACAAAAGACATGATAAAAGGCAGAATAGGTAGAGAAGAATCCAACATTTATTCACTGCAAAAAGAAACTGTAAGAAAGCAATAAAAATAAAAATCTCAAATCAGTGATTTCTACGAACTGCAAGGATTGATTTCACTGGTCCATTTATAACTTGTTCAAGCGGTGGATGGATTTTGTGCAGCAAGCAATGAGACAACGTTCCACTTTTTATAGAGTATGCGTCTACTGCTAAATCAACAATGGATGGAATCCAAGTTCCCTTTTCTGACTTACTAGCATAAATTGACATAAAACGATGCCACAGATATAAACAAGCATGACATTGCCTAGTATTTACTCTCACCTAGCTTACTGGTTTACTAGTCGGTCGGCCCTAAGCCCGGAAAAAGAGAAAAGGTTGGGTATGGAGCTAGCCACCCTACCCCGGCAAATCAATCCAATCACTAAAAAACTTCAAAGTACAGAGGAAATATAACAAATAAACTTATTCTTCGAACTAGAAAGCCACTTAGATACGGCACGGGTAGCATAAATTAACAAACGGTTGCATAAACAATTCAGATAAGAGTTATTTCGACTTCATAAATTAGTGTTTCACCTTGGCCTGACCGACCTGAAACTGTCTTTACGACTAAGTTGCTTTATTCTTTTATTGCCATCAGGGCCAATTAGAATCAGTCTTCTCGCATCAATAAGTTTCAATAGCGTTGAGAAAATCCAATGACGTTTGCTAACCTTCAGGTGTAGGTTATCAACTGTCTTTACCACTCCGTTTCTGCAGCAAACTTAATATCATGGCAGGTTTCCTCAGGATTAGGATTATTGTCGTAAAACAGTGGAGATAAATTCTTAACTTCTCTTTTTAAATTATCCACGTGTAATAAACAAAATCAATAGTGAGTATGGTAGTAATGTGAGAGTTACAAAAAACTTTTGAGATCACATTTATAACATGAAAAATAAAAGCATACCTTGTCTAGTTGATGAAGATAGGAAAAGTTTTCGTTGAAATAAATTCACCAGTTCTACAGTCTTTTCTTGTTTTTCACTATCACTCCATGAAGATTTGTCAATAGTAAACTGAGCAGCAACAATAATAAATCCAATGCACGAGGATGCTACAATACGAACTTGATCTGATGAGATTGGCATTTGTTTAGCCTGATTGAATGATCCCAAGACACTTTCATTTTCATCACTGTCATCATCACCCTCATCATTTCGATATGAATTTTCTTCCAGTTGATCTTCACCATCAAGAGATTCTGGTAAACGCATTAGTGGAACTAATAAGTGAAATACAGTATTTAAAGAAACTAAACTAGCTCGACCTTGTGAGTGTTCTAAGCAAACACGCAATGCCTGTAGGCTGGTATCTCTGAAAGTAGGCAAACAAAAAAAGTAAATGCACATAAAAGCAGCAACTACTAAGAATAGAAATTGAAGACCAGTTACGTAGGAAATGAAATCTCTTCAGAAGCAAAGTCAGTATTTATTTTATGATACTTCTGCATTGCCTTGTACCTAAGCATTATGACACGGGAAATTACTTTTATACATAATTTTCTTTGGATTTTATTGTTAATCTTTATTATTATTATGAATATTAATCTCTTGGGTTCGTAGTGAAACATACGGGCTTCAGTAGCACACAGACATTTCAATCTCTTCACTCCTGTCTTTTCAACCTCGATCCATAACTGACCACAACCTCTCATTTCTTCCTCACACCATCACCTCCATATCACCCTCCGAAGCCCCAATCATCGTTTCCCATACAGGTTCCACTCAATCGTCTGGCCTGCAGCGTCATGCCCCCAATCGGTCTCTTCAGTCTATGTCCAATACTGTATTGGACATCTCCACTTTCTTCTTCTGCATATTTGTTAGGCGATGGGTTCTTGGTGGGTTCGTTCCCAGCCAGCCAGCCAGCCAGCCAGCCAGCCAGCCAGCCAGCCAGCCAGCCAGCCAGCCAGCCAGCCAGCCAGCCAGCCAGCCAGCCAGCCAGCCAGCCAGCCAGCCAGCCAGCCAGCCAGCCAAAGTTCCTTCTTCCTTATTCTTACTATCCTCGACATCCATCTCATCTCCATCCTCAGTATCAAGTCAGAGTAGGTGGCAGCTGTTGATGAATATCTGTAGTTTGTCGGAAATGCTTTTCCTGACGCACCAAAGCTCTCTCAACTATCACATAGAAGCACTGACTTCACTCATATTAGTCTTGAAAATCCGGATCTTGTTCACGCTTTAAGCTGAGTGCACTGCAGCAGATCTCCACGCTGGTTTCACACTGATGAACAACTGTCTCGCTGTCTTTCCCAATGTGGCTTTGACATCCTCGTCTGTGACGCCTGTAGTTGGAACGATGCTGGCTGTCTAGGTAAGTGAAAGGGACTAATTCCTGTAAGTTTCTCCCGTTGATGGTGATTGATTCTTTTTGTTGTTGTTGTTGGTTGGGTATCTTCATCACCTGCGTCTTCTCTACGTTCACCTGAAGGAAGTCCCGTCTTCTCTGCCTTGCCTCTTTCGCCAACTTGTTAGTTTTCGTCTTTAGATCTTCCAGTTTATGCGACAAGACATTGGACATAAATCATCATCGGCGAAATCCAAATCTTCTTCTAGGGTCTTTTCATCAGTCCAGTGTATGGCCATCTCGCTCCTCACGGTTTGCTGCATAATCCAGTCCACGGCAATTATGGTTTAACACTAACACTTCTAATTTAGTAATTTTTTTTATGCAGTGTGCATCTCGATGTTCATTATATATATGTTTGAAAATAGAATAGTACTTGTAAGATAATGCTGCAGGATATTTCCACTTTCGAATCCTAAGCAAGAGCTCGGATACCAAATCACGGAAGAGATAGGTTGGGTTATTTTTCGAAATCAGAAGCGTAATTATTAAGCATTGTTTGGAAAAGTATGTAAAGTACAGTGATCAGATATTATTCTGTTGACATCTCAACGCTTACAGAGAAGCACTGGATCTCAGTTATATGATATCTTTTACTTAAGAGTATAAAGTTCGGCATTATTTAGTTGATTTTTTTTTAAATATTTGATTCTACAGTATCTTAGATTGAATCTAAGCATTATAGACAAGTGTTACAGGGTTGTTCTAAACGGTCATCATTTAAGCCCTATACCACAACAAAAGATAACAATACAGTAGTCTGGTATGAGCAATCACAATTCTCAATTATTTATCAATTGATAGAGTTTTACAGACACTACTTGACGGATCTTTCTTACCCAATCAGTGAAATTATGACTCCACTATATACATGTAATACTGTGAAGATAATAGTCAACAAATATACGTAGCATCTTTCTATACTGTCTTTACCGCCTGATTCACTCTCAGAGTCAAATTATAGGGATGCATAAATGATTATATAGACTAAGCTTGTAACTGAACTTCTCAATAGACCTTTACATAGTTGTACTTCAACCTTCATTGATTTCGCTGTAAGTTTCAAATGATGAAACATTAAAAAATTATGCATAAATTATCAATTCATATGACTTATAATAATAATGCTGACGTAAGAAATAAACAGAAGTAAATTGTTGCCTTGTTTATAATAAGCAAAGAAAAAGGAGATAATAGTAACAGAACTAGCTAGAAGTGAACAGAAAATATACAATCCATTGAGATTATCATTATTAGTAAGTGGGTCAATTAGGTGATTCCTATTAAAGTCGATAATTTTTTTTTAAAGACAAAATAAGTAATACAAGAATAAAATTTTCTTTATTCAATAATTAGTAGTTTTCAGGATATCACTACAGTCTTTTAATGTTTACAATATTCTGTTTCCTACTGGTCTACGTTATTGTTTCACTTTTGAAACTGTCCAATTATGAGAATTGTAGACAGATGATATTCGTAAGTACGGTCAGCTTGGTGTAAACCAAATGTATGTTCTATATTCAGATATTTTAGAAGAGTAGTGTTATTATTACATTCAATAACGAAGAGAACTTTCATATGTTGATGGTTGAAGACATTCAAGAAGTATACTTAAAACGTATGGAAGGAAGCTTACTAACTAGTTCGATCTATACCTATGAGATAACTTATGCGCCATGAAAACAGAAAATAGAAATCCTCGAATGTTGCAGTCAGAAACGTTGGTGTACAGTTATGTCGGTCGACTATCTTCAATCATCCAGTAAGTACACCGCATTCAATGATGAAGAGCAAATACATTTGTGACATTATATACGACTTTCTGCTGTGTTTTATGGGAGTTCGTCGTAATATTGAGGCAGCGTTAGAATACTATTATCACATTTTGAGGTCAGGGGTAAAAAAGGTGATGACAACAAAAAACGTATCGATATGAAACTATACAGATTAGATAAGAGAGAGGGAGAGAGTAAAATACGTATTTTATGCTGATACAAGTACGAGAAAAGCAAACAAAAGATGTAACATATATGCAAAGCAGTCAACATATAAATAAGTAATTGGACAATTCTGATAGCTTACGGATAGGCAGCAACGCCTGCCAATGTATGTGCAGTTGCAGAAGCACCTGATGTCGGAGTTAAGTTTTCCATCTCTTTGACTGCATCTTTTAAATAATCATGAAAACGTGATATGATTGTTTGAGTTGATACTCTAGCTAAATCAATCAATAATGGATCAAGTTTAGGTGTAATAGGAACAACAGATGCCAGGCCTTCACCGCCGAGTAATCTCATTGGTCTATGTGAATCACCAAGACATTTTAAGAAGGTGGCTTGAAGTTGTGTGACAAATGGACGAACGGGTTGTGGACACTAAAATAGGATGAAAAATCGGGTGATTTATTTTACCGATGAATGTATAGTTAGTTTGAAGTCTATAGAGATTTTGTTTTTTGAGGTAGCATGAGTTGGAGAACTACTGAAAATCTGGAAGCACGGGGTATGTGATGCTGAGTCCTATAATAAGGCGAAACAGCTATCCAGTGCTCCCATTTTTTAAATAGTCCTCTAACTCACGTAAGTCCGTGATGAATACCACCTTAACAATACATATTTGTCAATCAGATGAATTATGTTAACTCTAGACCGACAATTTAAATCCATCAAACAATAACAACATGTGGAGCGGAAAAATTATTTGCTCTCATATTTATTGCATCCATGAAAATCTATTCATCACTGGAAAATGTGTTTAGGTGGAGATAAGGTGGATTTGATGCAATCAATTGGTAAAAACTAAAAATAAGTGTATTTTTCTTTTGGACAATAGAGTTCAGAGCCCAAAATGAATGCAATTTTAGAATCGCTACAGATAAAGTATTTGTAACCAAGATAGTGATTATAAAGATGGGTGAAGTAAAGCTGGAAGTGATAACCATAATGCTGTCGAAAGATCTTTTAACAATAGTTTGCAGTAATTGTATACACCTGTTTGGTAACAATAAAGATATTCACACATTACGAAACAGACATTTCAGTCGAATACCTAAAAGACTCCTATTACTTTACGAACGACCTAGAACGCAAAAAAACAGAAAAATACGTAGTAAATGGACCCACTTTGTTGACAAGCGAAGTAAGCGACTGTACTACAGCGACACGAACCACATTAGTTTGACGTTCACCCAATAAACGTATAAGCGGACCTATAACTTTGATAACACAGCTTTGAAGTGCAATTCCACTAGCATGGAGTATGCAATCTGATAAACCTTGTGCTGCGGGTTCTTTAATCGCAGGACGTCCACGAAGTGTGCATTCGGCATACAATTTGACTAGACTAACAAGCGGTAAGGTGGGATCTGAAAATCCAGGTAGATGTCGTTGGGTTTCATTTTTATTCGCAGCTGCAGATTTATTCATTTCTGATAACGCACCACGAATACCCTGGCGAAGATCGTTGATCTGTGTGGTAATCATTTCAGGATTCCAACGCTAGAAAAATGATTACAAAATGACGGTTAATTACTACTCATCTGTCACGAGCAACACTGAAAAAAATCATGAGCTGCAACTGTTATTTCAGGACTGACTACGAACGGTTGAGACATAAAACACATTTCATTTACAGATACGACCTACTCATAAGTAGTTCGCAAGGAATTTAAGAATTTATGAAGTTCACAGCTGATAGAATCCAAGTACAGAGGCTGAGAAATACCCTCCTACAAGATGCAGATATCATTCATTGGTTCGCTATACCTGCATCATACTCAATGTGGTAGAAGATTTTATTTCCCACTTTCCTTCTGATATTCGCTCTTCATATTTTAATTAAATCACTTCAGATTATGGTAAGTATAGCTGCAGTGAATTATTCCATCGGCTAGTGCACCTCCTTTCCAATAAACAAAGTACCTGAGCCAGCAAAACTGAACTCAAAATAAAACCACTCACACTCAGTAGACAGGAACAGTCAACAGACATTTTACAGAATTTGTGTGATAAGGTTGACATCTCCATCGAAAAAATTGCACGGATCTCAGTAGTGGAGCCCATTTGCTTGTCTGAGGTAAATTCAACCAATTTTAGTCACCAACTACTTAGTAAATGAAAGACATGACACCTGTAATCAGTAGGTTTACAGAATAACTGACAAAAATGCTCAACTTTTCGACAATTGAAAGTTTTCGAGAAAATTGAATATTGTAGTACTGAATATATGTTGGGATAATTAGTTCTAACATGGATAAATCTAGTGGTTAGGCTTATAGGAAAGTTATTGCTTAAGAAGCCATTTTAAAAACGTATTATTTTAGAATGTGAACAAGAAAACTTGACGGAGGATTAATCCTATGAACATAGTATATAACAATTAGAGCATCAAAAAACAAAATCATCCGTTATCCCCGTAAATCTCAGTACAACTGAAAAAACAAAACAGTACTAACTTTGAATAATGCTTCTAGGCACTTCCAAGCTTCAATTAATGTAGTTTTGTCATTGCAGGCTAAAAGCCGACATATATTACGTAAAGCAAGTGGATAAGATTCACTCAGCACGCGACTAATAACTTCTTTAGCATCAGGGTTCTCGACTTCATCTCCGTCGTCATAGCTGTCATCATCCTCAGTCTCCGTATAGTCTTCATCTTCAACACTAAAGTCCTCATCAGAGTTGAACGAAGCATCTTCAGATTCATCTTCATCTTCTTCGTCTTCATCATTATCAGACTCTTCACTTTCCTCGGAGCCCGATGAATCATTTGCTTTAGGTTTACGATTTGCCTGGGCATTAGTGGTACTTATCGACTGTCCATTTTCTTCAGAATGATCTTGAAAACTGACCTCCAGATAGGCACTCAATAAACGTAGACATGCAATACGATACGTAGTGGAGCCTGGAACGAGTTTCTGAGAGGGTGCTAAGATGTTAGAAGCTGTCTCGCTAGGCGCAGACATCGACAAACCAGAGAATAATTCATTGAAGATTTGTCGAATTCCTGTGGCATCGTAAATACAAACCAAAACAGCAGCACAGTGCTCTAAATCCTAAAAGTATTACAGTGAAACGCAATACATTTCGTTTGAGTAGGGAAAATAGAATATAGTGACAATGAAACAGCCTTAAAGGTTATGATTTATGAAAGCCAAATTTTTAAACTAACCCTGAGGATTAATGAAGGTAAATGTCGCATATTTAAGAACGAAGGTAAGTAGATGACAACGATTTTTGGATACATAGAAATGTTATTATACGACTGGCTATGAGACACAAAGGTATACAACTAATATCCTGTATGTTTAAGACACTGTTTTCACAAATTCTCAGTAACATTTAGTGAGTAGGATACTGTTCATCCTGTTCCCGTAGGCACAAATAAACGTTTACTAATAGTTAACACTACAAAACAAGTAAAAAGGAGTATTAAAAGTTATATTATCCAATATAAACCAAACCAACAAATCCCAACTTGCTTTGGATACCTACAAACCAAATGACCTTGGTAGCAGTCTCCCACTGTAGCACTAGATCACGAATCACCTCAGTGTGACAGATGCGCTACTGTGCATAAAATCGAAGTCATAGCTTTTTATTTTTGAGAATTCTGAACACATGACCACAAGCAACATGCTGATAATTAAAAATATATCAGGCACCAGAATCCACGTCTTTAAACTTAATGACAGATAGTACGAACTATGTGACCAAAATACCTGCTCCTTTCAAACACTTCACACACACACACGTGGCATATATACATATATATGCTTCGCGAATAACTCATACAAATAGTCTGAAAATCTTGCATTGCTTAACATCAGTTTCTAGCTGTGTTGCTAGTGCGGTTCCATTTCGTTTCTGCACGACATTACTTTTTCAGTAACTTTATGTCAGCCACAATACGTGTATAATGAAGTGATACGTCTACCTTATTGTTTCATATGCAATAGAGCATAAACCACTACCAAGAAACGAAGAACTTACATCTTTTACTGTTTCCTTTTCACCTTCTTTGTTCTCAGATTCAGGCATTAGTGATACAGTTTGAAGAAGTGCAGGCAAAATTCGACTCAGTTGTTTTGTAAGTGCTTCTCCAGCCACTGATGCCAAATAGGCGAAGGCCTTCACATTGACCACAGGACTAGTAAGCTACATGGATTAAGAGAAGAATAAACGTATGCGAGAGAGAGGAAGAATAATAGAGAAATTATCAAGAATAACACAGGGGATATGATAAAAACAAACCTGGAAATAGGAAAAAACTTACCTTTGGAACTAAATAAGGCATAACTGCTCTTCCTTTAACAGCCAGCAATTGTTTCAGACCATCTAATGCATACTGACTAGTTTCAGGATCGTCTAATTGAGACAATAAATCAGGAAGAACACCATCCAGTGAACGTACACCAACTGCAGCATATAAAAGTTCAAATGTTTTTGCCCCATTACGACGAACTTCAACAAGTGGATCACATAAAGTACGCCGAATAGGATCCAACAAACTGTCAGCATAATTTGATAGCTATAAATATTATTTACAAAAGTTGAAAGATGATTGGTTAAATGCAAGTTTACACAAACACACAAAAAGTTCATTAAGAGGTGTATTTTCTTAAATTCTCTTTCATTAGCCTAATCTTTCAAAATGGGAACAAGAATAATTCACTTGCTATGTACAATTGTCCATATTCAACGTGATCGAGATGCGTCATCATATGCAATAACACAAACTAGAAAGAATACTTGGAGATCTCGTTATCATTTTTTTGTAATATGTGAAAATTATTAGCGTTTACTTATAGTGTAAACAATAAGCTTTGAAATATCACAAGACTGATGAATGAATGAAGAACTAAGTATGACCAAGATGGTTATAGTGCAGTCAACTATACTGAACACTAACTATCAGGGAGTTCTAAAATAACTTTGACTAGTAAAGTACATGAATATTTCAAAAAAGCATCATTCATTTATGACTAGATTGCAGCTTCAACGCGTAGGAAGCTATTTTTATGAAAAAAGTCATGATTTTCTCATTTGATACTTCACTAAAATTATGTAGAGAAATATTCAAAGGAAGTAGACCAGTTGAAATTTAAGAAATTGGGCGAATACAAAGCACTATGCCGTGTTATGCAAGTAATAGTAATTTAGGATATAAAGTTTTGAACAAATGAGAAGCTACACATGGGCGTAGACTCCTAGTCAGCTGTACACTCCGGGGGTTTTTTAAGCAGTAGAAGGAAGAGAACAGTAAACTCATCTTCGTTCAGACTCTACTTTAAAAATACACTATAGAAAACAGTCCCCCATTAGAAAACCCTAAAAATGATCCTTTCTAAACCATCTTATAAGTGTGCAATGTAAAAAATTCCCTAACACTTAACAAAATACAAAATGATAAGAGTGAAACGCTTAAGTTTTAGCTGCTCAAATATACATGAGAATTATAAAAAAAATAGTTACCATAAAGTGATGGCAATAGTAATGTAAAACAACTGAAATATCTAGGACATGTTAATGCAGACGATTTTACGTCACATTTACTGTCTCAAAGGTTTTACCAATATATCTGCCTAAACCGAATTTGGATGAGGTCTAACGAAATTGTTTCCAAATGAGAACGAAACAGAAAAACATAAAGCAGGATATTGACACTTAAAACGGAAATGACAAACCAGATCACGTTGACAGCTGCGAATGATTTCGATCAATCCAGTACAAACACCACGACGTTGATCACTATCTGAAGAGTCCAAACCAGTGACTAATAAAGGTATAATTTCAGGAAGAATTCGTTCGCCTAATTTTCTCACTACATCACCAAGCGCACGAGCTGCAATCTGTATCCAGAAAAAGCAAAGAATATAAGATCATTTAAAGAATAGTAAAAGTCTAAATGATATCATGAGCAGATGAATTGTTTAGAACATACCGATATAAATGAAAAGAATGAAAGACCTTTAAGCAATGTCGCGATTCTTCGTTGGGATAACCTAATAGTAAAACTTTGATACACTAGACTATAGATCAAAGAACAACCTAAGTCAAAATGAACTTTAAGAACCTTTACATAAGAAGTATGTTGGTTGGTTGTAGGCAATCTGCAGGAAGCCTTGGACCTAGGTTTCGTGTTTTTCGGCACTCGTCAGCAAGGCATATCTGAAACTTCGGTGGAACTGACGTTCCGCCTGGGATTCGAACCCACATCACACAGTGTTGAAAGCGACTTTACCACTGAGCTATTCGGGCTGCGATTGATAGGATCGATAGGATTCGGTCTTCACTCAGGACTAGACAACATGAAATTGGTTGCACTCCCGTGACCAATCAATACACATCAGAAGTATATTGATCTATCTTGACAACCTTGAATAGGATTGCCTGAATCCATCAGTAATTAAAATATTTTTGACTGATTATCTTCACAACCAGGTCTCTTTTTGACACTTGATTTTTCCCTCGCTAAATAACTTAACACGTCTACTATAACTAAGTTTGTCAATAATCAACTGAAACAGGTAATAAGCCTACAAAATCACTCTTAGGATTTCTAAAAATCTCATCAAATAATTTCTCGTCAACTTTATACTCGAAATGATTTGTAAGCGATCATAAAACCAACGATAAATTATTCAACGTAAGTGATTATTCATATGAATATGTAAACGAAATAATGCAGATGTTTCCGCTAAACTGCCATAACCACTGATTTCTTCAATCTTCATAAAGTATAGCTATAAGGTTTTTTAATCTTGTGAGCAACAAACAATCATTAAGGTTTGAACGGTTTATATGCATTCCTTGAAACACTGCGATGTATGGTAGCATATATTTCGGATTTTACGGTAGATTTAAAGATTCGTTTACAGACATAACTACTTCATTGGTGAGGTTAAAGTAGATTTATCTTCGATTTTGCATACATAGAGAATGGAATTCTTAGTTTTCTGCTGAGGTAAGCGAAACCATCCTCTAACAACTAAAACTTTCTTAATCAGAGTAGTTCTCTAATATGTAGGTATTTTTGTGGATGGTTAAGACGTGATGGATGGGATTGAAAACCAAAATGTTATACAGCGATCTGAATCACATTTGACTCCCTCACGTTAATTTGAGTGTAAGAGTTCAGGCATACAACGCTTTCTTGAAGTCAATTCTGCTCTACACTTGTGAAGACATTCTTTCTCTAAAGGAAGATGGGTGACAATGGTGTTTGAAAACGTTCGTTTCGATAAGACTACTGGCATCAGATGGGAACAATATGTACGTAATGCCGATGTTATGCAATGCTCTTCTGAACATGATGGACGTTGTCATCTATTGTATGTCATCTTCGAACAGCGGTTATATCAGCTTGAACATGTGTTACGAATGTCGTCACCATAGCTCCTACACATTCACTGTTCCTTAGCTCTTGTACCGAAGTTGTGGTCGGTGTCAAACGACGTATTGGGAGACGAAACATGGTCGATTTGAATTAGTATACGCTGGTGCATCGCCACACCATAGATGACGTCCGAGATATCGTAAAACTCGGTGGTTGTACGGGTTATCAGATATGGCTTAGAATCTAAATCAGTAGTGACAGTGCTGTAGCTTCCATGTTTATTCTGTAAACAAAGAGCCAGAAGAAAGAACTAAACGCTCGGTCGAATGTAATTTTAAGAGAGTTTCTTTTAAAACTCGTCCACACTTTTGTCGCAACTTTTCACCTTTACATCTTCGTAATGTTAAATTATTTAGCATCACACTTATTTTATGTGATAGATGGTAAAATAACTAATTAAGCTTCTAAAAGAAGAAAATTTGTTTTCTCAAATGAAAAAACAATGTAGCGAACACAGAAAACTAAAACAAAACTAACTTGTTGGTGTTCACGGGCGGATGATCCAAGGGTATTTAACAATAATTTGATAAGTACAGGCATTATTTCACGTAAAGTCCTTGGAGTATTAGGTACAACAATCTTCCATACATGTATTGCGGACTGACGAACAATAATAGTAGGATCGGAACGAGATAAGTGTAAACGAGCTAGTATACGATCATGACGTTCACCTCCCATAGTCTGACGTAAACGTTCATGAGCTTCATTGGTTCCAAACGTATCGTCTTCACTTGATGTCTATGAGAAAATAAATATCATTACTATTGATAAATTAAAGAAATGAAAATAGGAAACTGAAAAAAAATAATAAAAGCATACCTTGAGAATTTTATATCCTACACAATTACATAAAAATTTAGCATAAAGGCATACTTTGGACTAGTAGTTCAGTCTCGTTTTTAATTGTTCTGATGGATCATGCTTTGTGTTCTGCTGCTAAACACCACCGAACTAACGACAGCAAAAAGAAGCTGATGGCAATATAAATGAACCTAAATGCGCACAGATGTCAATCAACTCGATTGCCTAAATTAGACAACGAAAAATTATGTAGTCGAATTTTAAAAAGCTAACACTTCACAAGGACTAGCTCATATGACTCAAGTACTCAAGGGTTATGAGGGGATGGACTCACGTTTCAATGGGAGCATGGATATTGATCAGAATACAAACAGATAGACAATCAACATAGAACCCAGCACAAAAATGTATCAATAAAAGCCCACAAATCATATTTATCTACAAACAGCTAACGAATCCAGAATAAAATACGTGATTCATAAATTACACCACTAATAATCATTTGGGCTTGATTCATATATATATATATATATATATATATATATATATATATATATATATATATATATAACTTACTTTTGTAGTTCCTTTACCGGATAGACCAGATAATCGATATAAAAGTTCACCCAACAGCTGAACAGATGAATGTCGTATCCGCCAGTTCAAATCAGCCATGCCTTGTTCTAATTCTGGAAGTAACAGTTCTAGTGAAGTTTCTGCGAACATATGCACGATACGTTGAGCTGCACGTAAGGCTGTTTCACGCAGGAATTCAGTTTCATCAGATAATGACTGCAAATATTTCCAAAAAAGTTGATTAGTTAAGAAAGTTCAAAAGAAATTTTCAAAAAAGATGACCACGTTTAGTAGAAGACGTGCTTCTAACGATGATGCTAAAATCCACATTTAGTAGTGAAATATATGATCGCGAAATAAGTTAAATCTGAAAATATACAACACAGATAAGTAAGGTATGAATTAAAATCTTGATACGGGAATGAAAGCTTACACAATAAGTATTTGATGATTAACTCTAGACTACTTGGTAGCAGTCAGTTGCCAAAGATTAACTATACCAAATCTTTTCGAATTATTGAGCTGGGGAGGTATGGGATGACAGAAACAGATTCAGTGATAAATTCACTCTAAAAGGTGAAATGCTTGAACGTTAAGTCAAATCGAAATCCACTTAGTAACCTTGTGCATATTCGCCCAGAAGAGAATGGAGCCACATCTGTTTTGTGTAAGGGTTAATAATATAACCTGGCTGCCCAGACCTCGGCAGGTAGAGCGATTTCGAACCTTTGACTCATCAGTTGAAAGTCAACTCTAAAACCAAAGAGGCACAGCTCAACAAACGTCAAGTAGTTTCCTCTAAGAAAAAAATAAACTGAAATAACCACGAACTAGTTATCGAAGAAAAATAAAGATAATTCTTTTATCTGCAGGGTCAATGAAACTTTCTCAGAGGAAAATGATGTGACTACTAAATTAACTAATGAAATACTGGTGTGCTATATGTAATGGTGACTATTTAGAGATAATTGGTGGGAACACAAATTTCGTTCGCGTTCTGACTCATCAGTTTATTATTGTTTCTGTTAGACATGTTGCTGCTATCGGATTACGTTAAGGAATTGCATATATGGTTGAATTCTAGCATACATACGGAGCATAGATTATAAATGAATTACATTATTATAAATTTGATATGTGATTTCATGAGATAAAATAGTAGCAATCAGTGAATAAACAACCTAATTACCAAAAAATTATTATATAATATACCTTGAGAATAGTTGGTATAATTGGTCCAATGAATTCAGCAAAATCATCCTGAAATACTGTTGGCAAATAAATGAAAAGCATCAGATAACCATCTCGTATATGAGGTTGTAATTTCGAATCAGATGAAACTGTTGTTATTAAATCAGGCAAAACAACACGCAACCGTTCAATTCCCATACCACCGAGTACTTCGGCCAACCCCTGAGCACCACCAGAACGATCAACAGATGATGTCTCCGATGTAAGCGTGGACATAAGCCATGGAAGTAATTCCTAGTTTTTGATAGAGTTGTAGAAAAATTGAAACGTTTCACTTCAAAGGAACATTTATAGGTCACTTTATTGATGTGATAATAATAATAATAATAATAGGAAAAAATTGATCCGATGACAAGTAATATGAAGCAATAATATACGTTTATGCAAAAAAGAAGTCAATTAACTCACAGCGAATGAAGATTCACCCATACCCCGAACAACTGCACCAAGCGCAGCGGCTGCAGCCGAACGAACTTCTGGGACAGCATCTAACAGACATGTTTTTAAGGATGGTAGTATAGTACCAACATAGGGTGTTAACTCCTAAACCAAAAATAATATCAAGAAATTATTCGGTATAAAAGAACAAGTATTATCAAGAAATGACTTTGATTATTGAGGATATTGTAAAGACTATGTGATATGTAGTTTGACGTGCAACACAGTAGTAACCTATGAAAAAAAAGGTGTACGATGAAACAGCTAAGGTAAGAGAATTGAGGAGTAACACTGAACGTTTAGATATCCATTCTGACTTCAACAAGAAATCTGCAGCTATGTTGATAGGTGAATCATCATGGGTTAAAAGTACGATTCATGTTCATCATATAAGAATTCTCTGATTAGTGGGTTTATTATTATTTGTCCTTTGGGTTCCAAGTGAAACATATGGGCTTCAGTAGCACACAGCCATTTCAATCTCTTCACTCCTGTCTTTTCAACCTTGATCCATAACTGACCACAACCTCTCATTTCTTCCTCACACCATCACCTCCATATCACCCTCCGAAGCCCAAATCATCGTTTCCCATACAGGTTCCACTCAATCGTCTGGCCTGCAGCGTCATGCCCCCAATCGGTCTCCTCAGTCTATGTCCAATACTGGGTTGGTTCGTTCCCAGCCAGCCAGCCAGCCAGCCAGCCAGCCAGCCAGCCAGCCAGCCAGCCAGCCAGCCAGCCAGCCAGCCAGCCAGCCAGCCAGCCAGCCAGCCAGCCAGCCAGCCAGCCAGCCAGCCAGCCAGCCAGCCAGCCAGCCAGCCAGCCAGCCAGCCAGCCAGCCAGCCAGCCAGCCAGCCAAAGTTCCTTCTTCCTTATTCTTACTATCCTCGACATCCATCTCATCTCCATCTTCAGTATCGACTCAGAGTAGGTGGCAGCTGTTGATGAATGTCTGTAGTTTGTCAGAAATGCTTTCCCTGACGCGCCAAAGCTCTCCCAATTATCACATAGAAGCACTGACTTCACTCATATTAGTCTTGAAAATCCGGATCTTGTTCACGCTTTAGGCTGAGTGCACTGCAGTAGGTCTCCACGCTGGTTTCACACTGATGAACAACTGTCTCGCTGTCTTTCCCAATGTAGCTTTGACATCCTCGTATGTGACGCCTGTAGTTGGAACGATGCTGGCTGTCTAGATAAGTGAAAGAGACTACTTCCTGTAAGTTTCTCCCGTTGATGGTGATTGATTCTTTTTGTTGTTGTTGTTGGTTGGATATCTTCATCACTTGTGTCTTCTCTACGTTCACCTGAAGGAAGTCGCGTCTTCTCTGTCTCACCTCTTCTGTCAAATTGCTAGTTTTCGCCTGTAGGTCTTCGAGTTTTTGCCACATTAGGTATAAGTCATCATCGGCGAAAGCCAAATCTTCTGTGGTCTTTTCATCGGTCCTGGAATGAGTTGCACAGAAATACATTTTAGAGCGAGGAAAATTCACTTTCCTTTTTAAAATACTCTTTTACACTAACTCGTTTATTTGGTGCTTAATATTAGGGTTTGAGTGAAAGATTTGAAAAAAGGCACCGGTGTATCCCAACGAAGGCAGTATTGTACAAAGCCGTCCTGGTTACCAGCTACGATGGAAGTGAGACTTCTAACATTACTACACTAACCTCCAGGTAAGACTTCAAGTTACATACTCAGAAGCTCAGCCTCTTAACACAACTGCAGTGAATCGGTTGCGAATGAAAATTAGAGAATCCGATGCATAATCTATGATAATGAGAAGAAATCATGAAAACTCTTAACGTGTTCACAATTTCAGTACTAGACGATGTCACTAGAAAGCTATGCGATTCACTGAAATAAGACGTTTTTAGAAATAGTTGAAAATGTTGTAGTTTCCCATCATTTGTAATAAATATAATAAGATTAACTTTAGTGTTTTGTGCTTTGTTGTTGTCGTTTTTGTATCTTCGTACAAATGACATTCATTATTTTTAGTGCATTCCTCGCTTCTCCATTGTACCAAGTCTTCCTAATTTTTAACACAAATAAATACAGAAAGTTTTTACAAGTAGAAGATTACCTATTAGTAAACAGAACACAAAGACTTTAACTATTTTACAGACAAAGCAAGCGTAGTGAGCCATTTCAATCATGTCAATGCATGATGAAAAACCAATGTGTCTAAGCCAATAACCGGGGAATAACAAATCCCGCTTAAATCAAAACTCACAGTGTGAAAAATAACTGAAGTTTTGCGGATAACGTAATGATACATAAAGCAAATGGGTATCTGATTTGAATCTTAGTGATAACAAAAACAGATTCAAAAACAAACTGCAGAGAAATCCTAAATACAAGTGATTTCACATCGAGTTACCCATAGCCATTAACAAATTATGAGTGTGTCACGGTTAAGCGATAAAATCACGACACCCATGTAAAAAGATCAACCGGAACAGCCAAAAGGAACATGAACGAACGCAACAAACTGTTTTTACGATTTCATTAGTTCCACAAAATATATCAATAAATTACAGAAAACTTTTTTTTGAGATGGTTTTTAACACACAAAAAACATACCTCTTTCCTGGCTAAACTATGCAAATTGCCAAATATTTGAGCAGCCATCTTACGGGTTTCAGTAGAACGATCGGCAAATGCCCGTTGTATAACAGGTAGTATTAATGCTAAACTTGGTGCATCAAGTACATGCACAAAGCATGTATCTCGTAGTGCAGCCAAACAAGGAGTTTTATCCACCAACGGATGTTGAAGGCAGTTGGTAAGCAATGGGACAAGAGCTGGCAAAAATGCAATCAAAACAGATGAAAACAGTTTAAAACTGAAAAGTGAGGTGAAAAAAAAGTTATTCTTGTGAATTATATTCGATTTATAAATACTAGAAGACAGCACTATAATACTACAAATATATTAAGATGAGGTGTTAAACAAGTATATTATGTAGAAACTGAAACATACCTTTAACTTCAGGATTAGTAATCACCTCACCAATCTGATTTAATGCTCTCACACCAGCCTGTTTAACGCGTTCTTGTGAATCGACTAGAACTTCTAGTAAACGCGGAACTATTTGAGGTAGACAAGCTGATAATTGTTTTGGAGCACAATGTGTCATCGATGCAAGTAAATCTACGGCCTCTGTTCACAAGTGTTAAAAGAGGGAGAAACAATAGAAAACTAGAAAAACTGGAAAAATCTGATGTAACGATTTAATGTGTAATACAAGATTAACAAAACGTCAACAAATACATCTGACTACGCTTGTGTATCTGTTGATCAAAAACCGATATTTATTTGATATTACCTTTTCCAGCAACAGGTTGACTTCCTCTTCCATAGTAGTCTTTTTTACAAATAATCACGTTTGTTGTGATTCATCATGGACTGATATCAGTTAGAGAAACACTGGAAACCTGGGAGAACCGGATAGGTGTTTCGTCTTAGTATGGGACTCCTCAGCAATGAGCAAACGTCACTCTGCCGGTCAGGGATTGAACCCAGGACCTTCGGGTTCCGTGGCCAGCATGTTACCACTGAGCTACTTGACCAGAATCCAATTGTCCATATTCCCTACTTCTGTCAGTTCGCGATATAGTGCGACCTACATCCAATGTCGTCGTTGAGTAACTATCCTCAAGTTCGACTTAGTTGACTCCACTGGTCCCGACTTCTCATAGGAACTTTGAGAATCACCTCTCGAAGCTAGTTACCACTGAGCGCCAGATCAATTCTATCTAGAGGTTTGTGGAAGTTTATCAATTCGTTTTAGATTAAAATCCATCAAGATGCAGGTCGCGCTATATCATGAATTGACAAAAGTGGAAAATGTGGACATTAGGTTCTCACGCAGTGGCCTATAGGTTCGACCCCTGGCGGGCGGGGTCATAGGTAAGCACTGTTGAGGAGTCCCATACTAGAAGGAAACAGCTGTCAAGCGCTCTCAGGTTTCTAATATTCCCCCAACTGATGTCAGCCCATAGTGAATTACAGTCTAAAATCAATTAATAAACTTCACATTTATATCAGAAATGAATAAAGCTATCGAAACTGAAGTAATGTCTTACTCAACTTTTTATGACACAAACATGATATATCGTTCCCTTACAATCAATTAGGGTGTTTAAAAACGTTTACTTTTCTCTTCTTCACACATCAGGAACAAAGTACTATGGTATCAGATCCCATTATGGAGTGATGAAAGTTAAAATGAAGTTGCCACTTATGTATTTCTGTAACTAAATCTCCCAAATCATGATAATAATGGTAACATTTAATTGGACAGCGAAAAACACATTCTAAAACATGAGCATTTCAGATAATTCAACATCTAGGGTAATAATTAAAGATGTAGAACTATGTGTAACGTATTACTTGTAAGCAAAAACGGATAAAAACTAAGAATAGGCATTAGAAAAAACAAGGATGATATTTCAACTTCGTATCACTGACAACCTTTACACAGGAAAAAAGAAAACTCATGACTAACCTGCTTTAGTACGCCAAGATTGTTGATCATCAATAGCTTTGAGTAGTGCTGGCAGTATCAATTTCACACCATGTGCACTTAATTTACTCATAATAGCTCGTGCAGCATCGGATGCAGCCTGAAATAATCAAGAAACAACAACAAAAAATTGAACATCATGAAATAATTGCTACACATCAAACTGAGTGATGGATGTACCAGTGATGACAGTCAATGAAAATGTATTCATCGTGATCAAGCAACAACAGGTAGAACGCTAAGGTAAGTTGGTGACCTTAGTAACAGGAATTCTTGTGTATTGTCCTTAATTAAGTAACATTCACTAATTTATATAATTCAGGCGAGAATGAAGTTGCAGAATAACAAGAATGTGTTTGCTTTTCCGTTAGCAGTCTTATCCGGACGAGGAAAATTCCCTTTTCTGCTGGATCTTCCCTATGGCTGTACACACCAACAAAAATAATTGTATGAGTGAAACACTCAACAGTCTGTCTACATTTAAGGTGATACAGGTTTGGAATATTGAACCTGTAGCAAATCTGGATAGCTGGTTGTCAGTTTCAAATAGTAGATATGGCTCATAGGTAGGTGAAGGAACTTGAATATCAGTACTGACTAGGTACATCATTGTTATGAAGGTTCTTTAGTCGAACGCTTGTGGGTGTATTAGAGCCTATGATGAGATATTGGGTGAGTTGTGTACGTCCAGTGGCGTCCGTCAAGGATGCCCAATCTTCATTCTTATTCAATTTTATCACAGATGTTTTTATGGAAGACTCCGTCTCGTCATCTGACTACACAGGGATTGACCTGATCACCGGAGAATTTTTGTGGACCCACAATAGGCAGATGATATAGTCCTGACAGGTGGAGACGCTGACAAGATGAAGTCTTTTTGACGCCTTAAGTGGCAATTTGAGAATGTTTGGGATGCGTTTCTCGCCAGCCAAATGCAAACTGTTGCTCCAGGACTAGTCTTCAACGATGCCCCGGCTAACAGTAGGGGGTGAAATGGTGTAGCCAGGCATTGCTGTGTAACGGTCCAAGTTACAACACCTCATACCAGCACAAGTACCAAAGTAGTAAGGTAAAAATGAAAGAAAAGAAATTGGTCAAAAGCAGTAGAAGAGAGGAAGGACGAATGAGAAAATGTTGAACTCAGTACAATGGTTAAGACGACGATAATATGTGTATGCACCTGCGCCACATACATCGGTTCTGAACCATATCACCTAGAGTCTCCGATCACTGGTCTCTCTTGTCACGTAGACCCCAACCAGTTATTCTGCATCGTCCTGCATGACTCAAACCAACAGTCAACGAGTTCATGCGTTGGCTCCATGTTTAAGTCTGACCACCTCGAGCTTCTTTTCAGCCTGAACCTACTTTGGCCAATACTGTGTGACAAAGCAGACGGTGGTTAGGCATACGTAACAAGTCCCAACCATTTAAGATGATAAACGTTCACAACCACATCAACTGTCTTACCTCTCCTGCCCAGAACTCTACGTCTGACTTTCATTACTCACATGGTGAGACCACGAAACATGGCCTATGACAGGAAGGCAGCGGTGGTGAAAGATCTGAAGCCTTCTATGTCTTCTACCTTTAATGCCTACGTTTGACAGTCATAGACTGGAACAGAGCGGACTGCAGCACAGTACACTGAACCCTTAATAGACAACCGGAAGTCACGGTGATGCCACGGATGGCGTAAGTTGCCAGAAGCCAACGGAGCCTTTTGCATCGGTTCAGAGAATTCTTCGGCAGCTGAGCCACCATGGTTGATCCGACTTCCTAGGTAAGTGGGAATTGTTAAATTTTCCACCTTGAACACAAGGCAGAGTGATGAATATTATTAAGGTAGTTGTGTAAGTGAAAATCTAAGTGACATCAATAATCGCAATACACTGCCTACTACCAATAATTATTTTTTCACGTAAACCTCCTTTTTATATCCTAAATCTAAATGTGTATATGCTATATTCTACAAATTCATGGTTCAACTTATTATTATATTGTTTGTCTTTTGGGTTCCAAGTGAAACATATGGGCTTCAGTAGCACACAGCCATTTCAATCTCTTCACTCCAGTCTTTTCAACCTCGATCCACAACTGACCACAACCTCTCATTTCTTCCTCACACCATCACCTCCATATCACCCTCCGAAGCCCCAATCGTCATTTGCCATACGGGTTCCACTCAACCGTCTAGCCTGCAGCGTCATGTCCCCAATCGGTCTCCTCAGTCTATGTCCAATACAATCCATCTCCACTTTCTTCTTCTGCATATTTGTTAGGCGATGGGTTCTTGGTTGGTTCGTTCCCAGCCAGCCAGCCAGCCAGCCAGCCAGCCAGCCAGCCAGCCAGCCAGCCAGCCAGCCAGCCAGCCAGCCAGCCAGCCAGCCAGCCAGCCAGCCAGCCAGCCAGCCAGCCAGCCAGCCAGCCAGCCAGCCAGCCAGCCAGCCAGCCAGCCAGCCAGCCAGCCAGCCAGCCAAAGTTCCTTCTTCCTTATTCTTACTATCCTCGACATCCATCTCATCTCCATCTTCAGTATCGACTCAGAGTAGGTGGCAGCTGTTGATGAATGTCTGTAGTTTGTCAGAAATGCTTTCCCTGACGCGCCAAAGCTCTCCCAATTATCACATAGAAGCACTGACTTCACTCATATTAGTCTTGAAAATCCGGATCTTGTTCACGCTTTAGGCTGAGTGCACTGCAGCAGATCTCCACGCTGGTTTCACACTGATGAACAACTGTCTCGCTGTCTTTCCCAATGTAGCTTTGACATCCTCGTATGTGACGCCTGTAGTTGGAACGATGCTGGCTGTCTAGATAAGTGAAAGAGACTACTTCCTGTAAGTTTCTCCCGTTGATGGTGATTGATTCTTTTTGTTGTTGTTGTTGGTTGGGTATCTTCATCACCTGTGTCTTCTCTACGCTCACTTGTAGCCATGTCTTCGCTGCCTCTTCTGCCATGGTTCAACTTAGTGACACCTTAACAAAAAATACATATTCTTACAATTTGTTTGTTTTCTCAAACTATAGGGAATTAGTAACAGCACGAAGATACGAACAAAAAACAACTCACCTCTCTAACACCAGGATTTGTATCACCGAATGTGTTTAACAGAGGTGTAATCAAACGAACAACATACGGTTCAAAAAGACGTCCCATTCCAAGTGAAAGACGTTCCACAGCCATCAGTGCACCTGTAAACAGTAAGAAGGTGAAGCGATGCGAACCCTCGTAAGAGATAGTGGGAAGAATTTGGTTTATACAGCAAATTTTGAGGCATTTGAATTGGTAAGGAAATGAAAAGGAATACATAATGCTGTATGAGAGAGGAATGCTATGAGAAATTAAGTATGGCCTAGTGTATATAATTAACCTCAGCCAGTAATACATTTCGTACAGCCTTTATCCTCGCAATCTTGATATTGTTTATCGAGTCGAGTAGATCACATTACGTGATCTGAATACTTTGAACTCCATGGTAGACCAACCACAGAGATTTAGTCCTTTTTCGAGTATTTTCGTCTCAACCACAGAGATATTTCCCATTATATTACTGTATCTCGCAAACACCTAATTCTAATCAAGATGCAACCAGTCCACCGAAGTAGCTAGCCTGGATTTTGGATATTTTGAACAAGTCGGCTTTTTGAGCTGAGTGAATGAGGATAAACTGCTGATGAGACCGATTTCAAACGAGCGAAAAGGTAGTTTGATGTTTAGACTGTCCCAATCTGGCTGGTGAGCACTGCTGATCCAGATGAGTGGTCTACAACTAATCGTGTCAGCCAGTAGTATACTCCGTATAGAAGAAAGGGTATTTATTGACAAACAAATGATTCTCTTATCCGATTATACGTTAGCATCATATCAAGGAACGGTTTCAAAAGGGATCAGTTAATCACTTCTAGTACTAGAAATATATAACTTCAAAAAGAGAGATAAAGGAAATCCTACAGTTATATGCACAGTGTTAACTTTTATCAGAGGAAATAGTAAAAAGTAGGGTGATGAACGATTGTTCAGTAAACTGTCCAAATTAGGTTTGTCTTGCAGATTGATTTTGATCAAAGCGATAAAAACTAGTTGAGTATTTATTGCTATGATGAACTGACAGTTACATATCACTTATTTAAATGATATCTGGGTAAAACTCCCAATGACTGAAATGCAATTAAGACTCCTTCAGTAAATGGGTCTCGTCACTCAATTAGTTCAGTATCTGGCTAGTAACCTAGATGTTGATTAGAACAGTAGCACAATTATGTCTTTCCTTTGACTTCATTCCTTAATCCCATGTGTCCCAGTTGAATAATTGTTTATTATGACTCATTTTACTCATTTTCGTTTTGTCTATATTGTTCTTCAGTGAACAAAATTAGCAGCACACAAGGGTGATCATCACTCAAAATTCACAGACTAGTTTCAAATTGAGTTCCTTAAACTATGGGGAATTTGATCTTTTACCCAATCAGAAAACTCATTAAAAAAGTAAGCCATCACAAATTTTAGACAATTTACAAAAGGGAGAAGAGTGAAAGAGCAATAACATACCCTCACGACGCTTAGCCACTTTTGTATCATCCAAAGCTGGCATAAGTTTATCAATAATTCCATGGTGTTTAAGTGACATAATACCTAATCCTCGAGCAATTCCAGCAATTCCATGAGCTGCACCATGACGTTCGGCATAATTATTACTACTAAAAAGGCTAGTCATTAGTTTATTAATCGTTTTCGTTGTTTGTTCCTCTGATAGCTTGCCAATTAGTGACGCTAAACAATCTTCTACAGCTTGTTGAACCTGTACAGAAAATACAAATTGAATTCAATAATATAACTAAACAAAATTATTGTATAGCGTAAAGAGGAAAATCCAATGGTGATGAGATCCTACAGAATCTTTCTTATCAATTTACTAATACACATAGAATGAAGTCTAATAATGGCAGCAACCTAATCAATTGGGATTAACCTGAATAACTGTCCAGAGTTCTCTGATTTGAAATACTGGTCTAGTTCAGGCGAATCACTGTGAGTACGACTTTATTAACATCATCATCAAAATAGTCATAAGACCATTTAGTACTTAAATCACACAGACAATAGGTATATATAGAATATTGCATGAGATCATAATAACAGATTACGCCATGATTCAGGTAATCACGATTTGCAGCGAAATCTCTCATTAAGATCCCTGCACTATTCGATCTATCCGAAGATGAACGCGTTAATTTCAAACACTACGTCGAGACGGTGTCAAAATGTCGATCAGAAGACGCTAAACTCAGAAACAGGTGTAAAACTTCGGCACTGTGGTAGAATTTAATTCCATATCAGATTTATATATTTGATTTATAACAGTGATACAGTATTATTTACATGACGTTTCGAGCATAAATTGTTGCTCATAATCATATCAATGTGATCACACTACTTCCAACATCTGATTTTTATAGTCCTGTCACCTCATGTTATTTGTTTCTATTGATAGTACAATTTTCCGTATCCCCAGTTTAGGTGTTGCTTCATTCCTATTACGTGTTAGGTGTTGATTCGATGAACAAAGATTCAGTGATCTCTCTCTCTCTCTCAAATTATATTGAACTCGAGTACAGTGGCTTTATCCCACACACCATTTTGTGTGGTTGTGTTAATGCATGCATTGCAATAACCGAGTGTTTTTCTAGACTATTGATCTTATTCGTGTCTGTCACTCTATATTTAGCTAAACTCATACATTCCGCTAATCCAACTGATCTCGACTGGCTAGTTTGACCCATGTACTTTACCTCGCTGTCATTACATGGAATTTGATAGATTAAATTATTTTGCTGAATTGGTTCTATCCTTAAGCCAGTCGACAAAGCTTATCTCTGAGTGAATTTGTAGGTCAAAATGCCACTCTAATTCTAGTCTTGCTGAGGATCCTACATAAAGTTTTCGATGTACTTTCCTTATAGGGTAACATAATGGAGGGGCTGTGAACTTTCTATTCATGTTATCGTTATTATTCGTACTCACATTATTGTTATTATTTCGTTTCTCATGTGTTTGGAACGAATTTCTGAATCAACTGCGGAGGATAATTATTAACTATTAGTGCTTCTTTTACATGTTTCAATTCCTTGTTTAGGTCTTTGTACTGAATAGTCAGTTTTCTATCTGTGTCATTTAGGTATTTGACTAAGGCTGCCTTAACTGACATTGGATGAGATGACTCGAAGTCTAAACACCTGTCGGAGGTGACAGGACTATAAAAATCAAATGTCGAAAGTAGTGTGATTGCGGAGATATGTTTATGAGCAGTGACAATTTAAGTTTGAAACATCATCAAGTAAATAATGCTGTATGCTATAAATTAAAAAAAATCTAATATGGAACGCTAAACTCAGGTTGATGAGATGTCTTAAACCCTCGGAACTACATTCTAGTTTACCAGAAGCACCGGAAAAGATATACATATACATCAGTTGGAGTAACACTGAAAACCCGGGAGCACTGGACAGCTGTTTCCTCCTAGTATGAGACTCCTTAACAGTGCTTACCTATGACCCCGTCTCCCAGGAATCGAACCCAGGTCCCGTGGCTAGTATGTTACCATTGAGTCACTGGGTTGGAATCCAGTGGTCCATATTTCCTACTTCTGTCAATTCACGACATAGCTCGAGCATTACCCAATGTCACTGTTGAGTATTTGTCCTCATAGCCACCAGGTTTAAAATGAATGAAGGATAAGGTACAAAGAAAGATGTTTGATGATTTGGTTAGTAAAGGGGGGGGGGGGAGATATCGATTAATCTAAGACACACTACAAGTGGAAGAATTAGTTTATGCTCGAATCAGTATGAATTGTGTATTCAGAAATCTTGCATTGAAGACTAAGGTTCTTTTTATCCTCAACACCGTTGGTTATAATGCTTAATCGATTAGCTTTTAGTGTTACATGAGTCATCTCCATACATGTCTTGCTATTCTCTGCATTGAGATCTCTGATATGTACTTAGAAGTGGAAAGCGATGAAATCAAGGAGAGATGTTTAGTTGTATATGAGATTCGTTTGTTGAATGTACCTGTGCACCTACTGCGACTCGACATTAGCACTGACCACTTTAAATACCGGCGCGTTATCCAGTTTGCAATTGAGTTAAAACAATACCATCTTTATTTTAGATAGCAATTTCTATTGGAGTTTTCAATGTTTCCTATTGGCATATGGGTAATAAATCCAACTAAACCAAAAATATTTTTGTGTGCTAGACTACGCGTGATGGTGTGCCAAGGGTTGCGATACTTACTATCCAGTTGTCCAAGCCAAAGTAGATGCAGGGGAATTCATTAGCACCTGGATCTAAAGCTTAAAACGTTTTTAATTCCATAAGCTACACATCTTCACTGACATATACATTCCACGTACGAAATGTTCTGATACTGCTTGTGATTAGAGATTCATTGTGTATTTTATATAAACTTTAGCTCATTTTCAGAGCAAATGAATCCATTAATAAATTAAATTATCAGTTCAACTAGCTGAGATCGCCGTGGTTTGGTAGACTTGTATTGATATTGATATAGGTGATGATTGAAGGTGAACTGGAAACCAGGATTCGAACGTCAGCGGCCCAGATTTTCACTTCACCTTCAATCACCAACCAATATCAATAATATATTATTGAGATGAATGGGGATTTTCAATTTAGAGGTAGCATTCATCATGGACATATCAGTTGGGGAACCATTGAAAGTCTGGGGGCACTGGACAGCTGCTTCGTCCTAGCATGGGACTCCTCAGTAGTACGCACCCACGACCCGGCTAGGGATTCAACTCAGGACCTTCAAGTTTCACGGCGAACGTGTTAACCATTCAGCCACCGGGTCGGTCTTCAGTGGTTGACAATTTCCAACCTCTGTCAATTCACGATATAGTACGATTATCACTCAAGGTTTTCAGTTAGCATCTACTTCACTTCCGACTGGTTGACCTCATAGGTCATGACTTCTCGTTAGAGCTTCCTGATATCCATCTGGAAGCAAGTCACTAATGAGCACTATACAGTAATGTATTTTTGAAATGAGGAGTCCCATACTAGGACGAAACAGCTGTCTAGTGCTCCCAGATCTTTAATGGTTCCCCAACTCATAACAGTCCATGATGAATACTACTTCTAAATAATATATTAGTCTGCTAAAACATTTAGTCAATGCATGGAATATTGAACCACCTGACTTTAAGTTTATTCTTTGCATGCGCATCTCTAGTTAATTGAATTGGTACAACTAGAATCAAAGGACTTTTTATAAATCTGAGTTTATCCGAGGCAAAAAGAACATTTGCTTTTTAGAACGGTGAAAATTCAAATACTCATAGGAAAATCCTATAGTCTACGGATATGTTAGTATAGATTTACACCTTTTGAAAGTCGAAATTCAGTTCCACAAAACTAGGATTTGCAGTAACCGACATTCTCAAGGCTTCTAATGCATTTTATGTGTACTTGTCATCACCAACAGTTGGTAAACTCATTGTAATTCACATTCATCGTTAATTTGTTCAGATCTCTTGGTGACTGGGGAAAGGAATCATTGACATTACCATATATCTGATGTATTGGTGCCCAATAGTTTGTTATTTCATTAATCCTAAGAGGTGTTATGGAAGTCTTCGTTCGAATGAGTAGTACGCTAATACGAAATGCCATCTTCAAAAAAGATACAAAACGCTTCCTGTTGATTCAGTGAACTTAGATCGGTGGTAGGGAGCTTTTTTGAATAAAATGAATCTAGTCTTATTTGGTGATATACTAACTAAACCGCTGCCTCAAAGTCGCATAGAAGATAACACACTAATGTTACTTCAAATGTTCCGTCGTCTGCGGTCAAGTAAGTACCTCACGAATAATTCTAAATCCAAAACAAGATTTCTTTAAAAATACTTGCCAGATCTACTGACTTAGTGCTTGTTAGGTCAAAAAATAAGACGAAAAATTAGGGTAACAATTTAACAACTTACCAAGTCAGATGGAAAACTCAGTGTGTTCAATAAACGATTGAAAACTGTTGCAACTCTAGGATCACTAGCATCAAGATGTTGAGATAATGAACCAGTTAGAATGAGAATAGATTGACGAACAGCATCCAACTCAGCCACTTTTGGAGCTTTATTTACAAAATTTTCAAGTATTGGTAAAATTTGCCCAATACACGGCTGTAAACGATAAGAATTATGACGATAACAACAGTTATATTAACGATCCAGTTAAAATAATGACACAAACACTTTTGTTAAACAGTGTAAATATGCGCATAGAGTCCCGGTCATCTAGTAATCAGACAGTCTTAAATTATTTCCAATGGTTTAAAGATGAGAGAGTAGATTTCAATCAAAAATCATAAACGTGAGTAACGCAGAAGTCAGGAGTAGAGTTTTAGGGAGAAGAGGTAAGTCAGTTGACGAGGTTGTGAACCTTCATCGACTGAGATGGTTGGGACACGTACTACGTATGCCTAGTCACCGATTGCCTCGTCATACAATGTTTGCTGAAGTAGGTCCAACCTAGAAAAAGGCCCGAGGTGGCCAGACTAAAACATAGCACCAATGTATGAAGTCTCTGATTGTTGGTTTAAGCCATGCAGGGTGATGCAGACTAGGTGGTTGGGGTTCGCGAGACAAGAGAAACCAGTGGTTGGAGACCCTAGGTGATATGGCTCAGAACCGATGTCAGTGGCACAGATGTATACATACATTATCCTCATCTTAATGACGCTATACCGGATCTCACCACTTTCTCATTCTTCGTTTCTCTCTTCTCGTACTTTATATCTCTTTCGACTGCATTCTCTTATCTTCATCGTGCGCCTCACTGACGTTTTACTTGATGTACTGATATGAGGTGCGGTAACTCGTGCCGTCACGCAGTAATGCCTGGTCCTAGGTTGATCTGGATGGATGGAGAAGCAAAATGAAGTGAGTAGCTTGATTGCAGAAAAGCTCTGGAAATGCTCATGTTCAAGCTCGAAATCTATAAAGGCACCTTGCTGTACTATCTAGATGCATAGAATAAAGTTTGTAGAGTGCAGTTTGAATCGGTGACTCAGTTATTGATAAAATATTTTGTTCACTCAAGACTATTATAGTAGTAGTAAATTTAACAGTATAAAAATTCATTCACCCTTCACAGCACTCAGAAGAGTATGTACAATAGATTGACTTATTCCTCATCAGTTTGAAAGAGGTTTTATGATCGGATAGAGTTACTCTGTTTATTGCTTCCTATATATTACTCAGTCACGAATATAACGAGGCGAACTTTCATTCGGAAAAACAGCTAATATATCTCAATCATTATACTTAATATAATAATATAACCAAATTCAATAACCTGGTATTCATATGATGATGATTTTGCGGAAAAGCCTTTATGTATAGTTGTCTGTTGAGTTTAGTGTTCCATCACGAACACTACTTGGGACAAATTTATTAGCCTATCTTACAGGATATTTTCATACCAAGTTAAACATAATGCGAAACTATTAAAACATGAAATAAGTACAAAATAGTATACAAACCTTTCCAAAGTTACGAACTGCTCGTAGACCAGCTTGAAGCATTTCTGTCTGTACTATTGCATTACGATCATTCAGTCCATCACTAACAAGAAAGCGAAAAGTATTTAGTAACCACATCGGTGTCTGTGTCAGTGAGTCATTTCCCACAATAGAAGTGCTGCCAGTAGAAGAAGTCTCCGAATCTAGATGCGTATCAATAGTTGTTAAATTATTAGAACTGGGGAGGTTGATATCGTCTTCATACTTCTCTTCGTTTGCAGCGACAATTAGGCTTTGCCTAAACAATCTGTTAGTAGATAGGGAGCGTGATGCTGACGAATTAGGTGCATCAGACAATCGTGTCAAAGCCATAGCTAGACCAGCACGTTCACGCCATCTGTCGGGTGATTCAGGACACAATATACGACCCATGCTATCTTTAATAGCAGGATCACGCTATTAATAAGAATAATAACAGTAATAATAACAAAGATAATATTTGAAAAGAGGATAAAAAGATATAACAACAGTTACAGACGGTGATGAAACCAAGGTTTTATTGAAAGTATTGGCAACCAACTATAGAAAAGTTTACCGATAATTTTGGCCCCAGATGACTACAAGTAACTTTTATATTTGAATAAACAGAGTTTGAAAAATAGTACCAATGCCAGAAAAGGTAGCTACCGTTTGCCTTACTTTAAAAAACACATACCCTTACATCCCCTTTCTGGATTCGTTTTCATCACTCTTACCCTTATTCTATCACCGATATTCTTAATTTTAATTATTCAATTTCTCTATGGATGATTTTTACTCACTATACTGCTATTGGAACCAGGTAATCTTGGTGTGTAGAAACAATTAAATGCATTTCAAGGTAGTATTCATCACGGACTGAAATAAGTTGGAGAATCATTGAAAACCTGGGAGTACTGGACAGCTATCTTGTCCTAGTTACAGCCCTTTTCAGCAGTTCGCACCCTTGACGCCGACAGGGATCGAACTGAAGGTCTTCAGGTTTCACGGCAAATGCGTTGGTTATCTAGTCACTGGGTTGGAGTTCGATGGTTCAGTAGGTGGTTAATGAGCGTTGCATTATCAAGCATGCCTACAATTGTGGATCACTGGTCAGTGTATTTAACTTTCAAACAATGGATCAGTGGTTCAAAATCTTTTCCACCTACCAAGGTTTTGGGCGGTTAGGTAATATCAACAACTTTTACATATAAGGTATGGCTTACAGCTTAGTGCATGAGCCTGCGCATTGCTGCTGAGTTATATCCATTCATTCCTTTTATATCATAGCAAGACGACCGACTCGATTTGCACCTGAGAAGTGCCAATAGTCAGTTGAAAGGGAAAGCAATCAAAGATAAGCTTTAAAAAATTGACTTACGTGCAACATTACGTGATACATGCGTATCAACATATCCAACGCAACACTAATCTCATCCGTGGAACGGTTGATAAGGCATATAGCAAATGCGTCAGCTATTGCTAACTGAACAGTAGGATTAGGACGAGTTGATTCTAGTAACAGACGTTGGGCTAAAATCATTGGATTGAGCAGATTCGAATCATTTGGTTTTTCTAAAAGTGCTTTCAAACCACCAGTTCCCTTTATTTCAATGGATTGTAACTCTTCACACTTCTCGTCTAAATGAAGCGAATGCCATATTCTAAGAGAATAAATTATGGTAGGCAGTGAAGATCATTTATTCTTTAAAAGAATTCAATTCACAGCATTATTCGTATATACGTAAATTCAGCGCACACAAAAAAACAGTTGCCTATATCATCTTCGATCGACATCAATATCAGTTAAGACTGAACAGTTATAACTAAATAGTTGAAGCTTACCCCTATCAGTACTAATCAGAAAGAACTCGAATATATTTTCACAATATAAAGGTTTAACTACAGAGGACTGACCTTCTACTTACAAATAACTTGTGCATAAGATTGATTACTTTTTTTCTAAGTATTCATAACGGATAGACATAAGATAGAGGGACAAATAAGTCAGGGAGTAGACGACAGTTGTTATCCTGCTTTGAGACTCTTCAGCAGTAAAAACATATGCTTTACAGGATTAAACTTAGGGCAATTGGGTCTAGCAATGAGTATGTTACCATTCAGCTATTGGAAAACGTGAAACTGCAATCCAATTTTATCAATGGGTAACTGTCTTCACAAATGACTGAGTCGGTCAACGACGGATAATTTGCAGCTCAATAAATTCATAATAAACTGACAACTGAATAGGAATTTTTCATTTCCAACAAAGTTGCATGGTGTATGGGATATTGCAAGCATCTATATTCATAGCTTGTAGAGATGTGGCTCATTAGCTTGAGAACTCGAATTTCAAGCAGTGGGTCTAGGGTTCGAAATCCGATCCACCTACTTCGGTTTCAGAGAATGAGAAGTATAGTCAGCTCATAGACCAGAACATAAACATGTCCGAGATTGAGTTACTTTTTTTAAAATTTATAGTGACAGCTTACAAAGGGACACATCTTTCGATAGGCGATAATGATCATGTCAGTAAGTTACGAGTTCCAAAAGAGTTCTATCAAGCATTTACACCTAGTTATACCTAAGCCTAAATATTGTTTATAACTCCAAGTTAAGGACATGAAGCCTATGAATTCATATCTTGATCATCATTGGAATTAAGTAAATACAGACAAGAAGTAGGTACCATTAAAATAATTCGGCGAAAGTAGAAAAGTTGAAGTTTAAAATATGTTAATACTAGGAGGTCAAAGGATAGCTTGGGAGGTACAACAATGGAGGAAAAAACCTGTTCGGGATGCATTATACATCAGTGTTCGAGGTTTGCTATCACTTGTTATCATCATCTTTAGAAAGCTTGCCAGTTAGTTATGAACTCAAGTTATCGATAAGTCTTTCATACATACCCGTTAGTAAAATAGTTTCTTTCATTTTAAATGAATTCGAAGAAAAGATTTTCATCACACTCGTTATACTTTTGTTATTGAGGTATGATAACAGGATGACTTAGTCAACAACGAAATTTTAAATACCATTTTATTTCTATATGTATGAGAAGACTAGAAAGCCAAAACAATACTTACTTTTCGGCTAACTGAGCAATATGCGTTGAACAATCGCTACGAATAATCCAAATACGAACTTGTACACGAGACCAAATAGATAATTTCGGCCAATCAGCTGGCGTAGTGAATGGTTTAGTGAACATTTGATCGTTAACTTGGTGTTTATCAGCAGCAGCTGCAAACGACTGAATCAATTTTTGTTTGCGTCTTTGATTTTTATTCAACTTTTTTCTAGGTTTAGAATCACCAGATTTATCAGATGGTACACTACCACCACCACCACCGCCCCCATCATCTTCATCACAATTTCCTTCATCTACATGAGCAGGTTCAGCTACAGTCTTATCATTCATTGTTATGTCTGATCCATACTCGGTAGGATTCTGAAGGCATTTTGACTCAGTTTTAAATGATGATTCCTCTTGTAGATTAATTAATTCAATCACACGAGGTATTTGTTCAACCAATTTGAATAAGCACTAAGTATATCATACAGGGAAGAGAAAAAATACCATTGAATATAACACTTGCAAAGAAATACATAGGAGGAGACTTTGTTGTTATGTCAAATAGATAATGACAATAAGAATGTTTCCGGTTAGAAACGTGATAACTGATCACCGAAATGTACATGAAAACTAGTCTAGTCCCATATGTAACTAGGAGGAGCTGAATAAATTTAAACACTTATAACCTTTCCCCTTTAGACATAATATATACTTAGATGTAGAAATAAGGTGACAGTTATCGAATTCACTGTCTAGTTTAAATATCAGTAAAAAAAGTGCAGTAAATGCAAACAAGTGATAGTCGTCATTATGTGAACATACCTCTTACAGGTGAAATCCAACTTGTATGAATTTAAATAAAGTTTACATAAGACAATTGATTTCTACACACTTTCTTCACAATATGTACAATGAAACTTTTATAAAATACGACCACTCTTCAAAAGACCTACCGTCTGTTCACTACTACTATATGCTCCATTCGATGTAGACCTATAGCTCCTAGGTTTAGGGAAATGACTTTCAAACAAGAGGTCACGGCTTTGAGCCCATCTCTACCTACGGAGGTTCGGTATCTAGGTAGTATCGTTAGCCCTCACATAATACGTGTGGCTCACTGTCTACTACACGAATGTGTACAAGGTTGCTGAATGGATTTCAATATTTTTCGACTCCATTCGATTACTTCAACTGGATTCTCGGTTCAACAAACTTGTTTCACTAACGATCAGCTCATTTACATCACTTAAATGACCATATATTGTCAAAACAGTGGGAAATAAATATCATGTAGTTTAGGTTGTCAATTTGGACAAATCAACGCAGAACCTGGCAAAAATCACATTAGTTCAAGCTTCCATAGCAAAGCAAAAAGAAGTGGACAGAAAAAGGGTGATATTAAAACAGACAACCACGTGTGCAACGAGAGAGAATAAACAGATGAAGGTTAGTAGAAATATTCATTATAAGGGAGATGATAAAGGGTGCAGCCAGCAGCCTCACTGTGACCGATTTCCGAACGTCGGACCTTGGTGACTAATACACTCACTAGTGCTAGTCTTCTTGTCCTTAAGGCAATTGTCTATAACTGGATAAAGTGATTAAACTCCTGTGATTAACAAGTACACTGCATCCCTATCGTTTCAATCTATATGACGAAAGCCTGAACAATAGAGAAATTTGAATTCAAAAATGGTGAGATCGTAGATAAATGTATACACTCAGTGTTTGTAGGTGAATGAGAAGTACTAGTTATTGAGTTTTACGTTGGGAAGTATGGTATAGTCTGTTGTCATAACCTTCAACACAGACTTCCACTGATGACAGGTTTTAGCTATACCAAATCTACTGGTAAAGCAACAGAAACTCATTGTTATCCACATTCGGCTTTTAACTACTAGGTCAGGGTCTAAAAACCCGGTGGTTGGATAACCAGGTATTTTTATAAGCCACCACATAATAGATGTGGCTCATTAGCCAGCGCAGGGACCTCCACTTGGTCTTTGAGTTACAATTAGATATTTAAAAAGAAACTAGTAGTGTCCGTAAGTATAGTGTGTGCTTTGCACCATCAAAGTGGAAGGTAATTTTGCAGGATTAGCAGGAGCCTGTGATCATGCTCACCCTCAGTGGTGAGCTGTTGGAAGTAATCGAAACCTTCGTGTATCTGGGTAGTTGTGTGAGTGCCGGTGGAGGTGGTGGAATTTCCAAGCGTATATAGAAAGCCAGAGTGGCATACGCTAATATGGGCCACTTTTGACGCCATCACGATATTAGTCTGATTGTAAAAGGTCGAAGTTCACAAACCTTCGGTGTGAGCAGCTCTGTTCTTCTCCTGTGAAACCTGGCCTCTCCAAGCTAATGATGTGTGGTGACTATACGTATTTGATCACCGATGACTCCATAGGATTGCTCGTATCCGGTGGCAACATCATGTTAGTAATCCTGAGGTACAACAGGGTGTGTTTGGGCATGATGGAGATCGTCATTCAGCATCTGAAGTCATCTGGAAACACCCGCTTTAGTGGCTTAGACATGTGTCACGTATGTCGTCCCAACGGCTTCCATACTGTTCATTGTTTGCTAGCCCTCGGACTGGATGGAAGAAGCGGAGAGCTGGTCAGTGTATGGCGTGGTCCCGTAGGATAAAGGGTAGTTGTATTGGATTAGCATCTGTTGATGCATCATGACTCCATGCGTGGTGTCCAAAAGATCATGGAACTCAGTGCCTTGAGACGTTATCAGATATGGTTCGTATTGTGGCTTCCTTCTATCTTCTGCAGCTGAAAAGTAGTGAATGTTTTGTTTTGAATGTAGCTTACTGGACTGCCCTTCTTATCATACTATTCTTAAGTTTTTTCTTCCTTACTTAACCACTTCCCATAGTTAATGTCTTTAAAATGTTATTTTCTATGGGACATTTCTTGGCGCCTCTGTGGTACAATTTTTGTGCTCAGTAATGGTAATAATAATAATAATAATAATAATAATAATAATAATAATAATAATAATAATAATAATAATAGCAGCTATTGAAACCTGAACAATCGAAACTTTTGGTGTTGCAAACTCTTAGAAGGAAAAGTTTGGTGAATTTATATTAAGTGTCTCTACCTATAGAATTCCGGCTAAGAACACTCGGCATATTGCTAGTACTTCAGACCATGGGAGGTGTACTTATGAGGGTAGCCTAAAAACCCACATATTCGCCTCTATATTCAGTAGAAAGTGGACTCTGCAAAAGACTAATTTGAACGCAACCTATACAGTATAAGTAAATTTCATGTTTTAGAAGTGTGTACATTTACATGCATATTTGAAATCAGAAAAAAAGATAGTAGACAGTGTAGAATCTAGTGTCTAAAGCCTTTATTGGTAGGAACAAGTCTAAGGAAAAATCATTTAATTAGGGTTCCAAAATACGATAAATTTCACCTTGATTTATCATAATTCCGTGTGATATACTCAAATAATAAAATACTCCATAGGCTACAAAGAAATTCAGCCATATTACAAATTAACATTTAATTATTTTGGTCTAAAACAACTGGACATCAAATTTAACTTCCTACCGACAAGCTAATAAAGCTCAAAATTGCTAAATATCGTTCATGAGCATTCATGCAAAATCAAAATGCTTCACTTTATGAAGTAAATGCTGTGCAAAAATAATAAGGAAATCAAGTACATAAAAAGAACACTTACACGAGCTGAAATCTCTCTCGCTTGATCGGATTCAGAAACTAAACCATCTAGTAGAGTAGAGACCACGGGTGATGATAACTGACCGATGAAATTATCATCTAATGAATGTACATAGCATATAAACAAGTTTGTAATTAGCATCATTAGGTCCATGGCAGTATGCCCAATTGATTTGCGCAAAGATGACTCATCATCAGTGAGAGAATCGTTGAATGACATTTCATTGGATAATTCTTTTGAATCGAAATCGTTTGGATCTTCTGCGGCAGTATCATCCGTAGTAGTAGTAGTACGATTTCTCAGACAACCATCAACCAGCTGACGTAACAACTATTCGATAAGCAATGGAATAACCAATTATACTTGTACGAAATATATTAAATAATTTAAACTACTTTGCAATTAAATTTAATTATGTATAGTGGGCTGTGATTCACACTTGCTGTGTGATGGTTTGATAAAACTACGTATCAGGAATATGAATGGGTGGGGTTAGACCTAGAACATGTAACCTAATAAGTGAAAGTGAAATATCTAAACGAATGAGGCATAATGAGCATATAAACAGTGAATGATTATTTCCTATGGTGAAATCTAGGACAAAGATAGCCAACTCTTAAAGAAGAGCTAAAAATTTAAAACTCAGAGTTACCTTATTGTTTAATCCTGGGCATAAGCGACTAGTTTTATTTACTACCAGAAATTAACACAAATCATTAGCTACTTTCATTATGATACACCTGAATTTGTCAAATTCATGTTATATGAGTGTTTTTTTAGTGCTGTCGTTATTTGGTTTTATTTAACGACTAAAAAATATTCCACTGACATAAACCTTTTATATACAGCCACCACCTCATTTCGAACACAATAGGCATAGAAATTCAGACGAAACTTCCAAAAAGCAACTACCTTTAAGATACAAATTCAACATACAGCTCAGTTTCAACAAATTTTTTGACAAAATCACAAAATCTCCCACCGAATATATACATATGTACACAATACAGATATTAAACTAAACTACAACTACAGTCAAATTCATTTCTCAAAAATCAGTTGAACTAAAAGGATATCAAACATTTAAAATCATCGCAAATTCTGGGTATATCAGAGACCTGTCGTGTTTACGAAAAGTAAAAGTGGGGCAACGATTCATACCCTAATTACTTTCGTTCCTTTGGTGAGAGTTTGTTTAATCTGTCCATGTAAGGTTTTACGAAAAGTAAGTATTTTCATAATTCACTGAATCAGATAACTGTTAAAGTGACACAACTGATTGACAGAATCAACGTAGAACTTTGCACGTAGATGTATCGGTTCATAGTAGTACACAAAGAACAGGTGGATAAGAAAAGTGACTTTAAAGTAGACAATGTTGTGCGAGAGAATAAAAAATCTGAAGATAAAGGATACTGTGAATATTCAAGATTCAGAAGACATCAAAGAGTGAATACATCTGTGCCAGTCACCGATTTTCAGCCAAGTCACCAAGAATTCTTAACTACTGATTCCTATAACTTCAGGGACTCCAGTCAGGCAACCTGCATCTCCCCACAAGATTCAGACCATCAGTAGGAGACTATATCGACTGGTGTTAGGTCATGGTTTGGCCACACTGAACTCTCTTCGAAACTAATCCAACTTCTCCTAGCATGTCACGTCGAGGTAGGCGGTGGCTCGGCATGTACAGCATATATCCAGGCCACCTCAGACGACTAGGGTTCACAACCTCATAAATCAACTAGCCTGTCTCATCCAGTACCCTTCGCCTAATCTGAACATTCCTCACACAGTGATTTCACCAAAACCAAGTAATGCTACGAAGACATCTATGATCAAAACCTCGCAACTGCTTCTTGTCGTTTACCTTTAAGGGCTATATATCACAGCTGTACAACTGGACAGAACAGACTGCAGCGCAGTATACTCGTCCTTTGGTAGTTAGCCGAATACCTCGCCAACGCCACAGATGATGTAAGTTGGCAAATGCCAAACGGGCCTTTTGTATCCAAGCTGAGATCTCGTCAGCAACAGAACCCTTCAGGCTGATGCAACTCTTCAAGTAAATGAAGGGGTCGATACATTCCACCACTTCACTCCCTATCATTAAGCTGGGAGTACCTGCAACAGACCAATCCTGGAGCATCACCTTACATTTGACAGGTGAGAAATACAGATTAGTATAACTTGCGTGTTTCATTTGCTTCTCTGTGACAACTATATCTCTTACCACCGGATTACTACGCAGAGATGCAACACAATCTAGTAACCAGAAATGTATTAGTGACTTTCTATTGATGAAAAATGACTGGTTTTTATTCACGTAGATTATAACTGTATCCAGTTTCTAGGTGGATCACAGTAAATGAGTTTCAAGGATCCTGCTTTTAAAGTTTAGTTTACTGCTCGAAATGAAAACTGCATGAAATACATCAGGGCTCATTTAATAGAAGAAAAGTATAATTCACCTTTAAATCGAACAACATTTCATTTTTTATGAACTGAAATTGAATGAAAAAAATCGTGAAAACTTCTTACCCTGAGAAAGCGATTCAACTTAAAAACATAAAGGACGCTATTACGCTGTATCGACGTATTCTTTTGACATTTTTTATCATCAGTAACAATTTGGAAATGATTTTTCCATGATTTCAGTAAAACTTTAACCAATTCACCATTCAACCAAGTGTTAGTTATAGACTGCTGATTTCTAATTTGTGAAGAATTCGGTGTCACTGGGATTGCGCAATCCTCAGGTAATGGATGAATCCATGAAGAATATTGAAATGCGCGATCAATTGTAGGCGATAAAAATGTTATCATTAAAGATGTATTCAAGTTTTGCGTGGGAAACTAGATACAAGAAAAATAACGAAGAATTATGGTATGCTAAGTAGAATTACTCAATGGAATACGTACGAATTCATCAATGTAAAGTAACTAAGATAATTTATGCTACAGGTGGTTTTGAAACGTGATCAGTTGAAGTGGAAAACAACATTGGATAATAACAAGTATTGAGTCATAGGGACTTAGGAAACGGTACTCGAATGTAATGAAACCACCAAGTTACTGATGTTAATATTAGAAGCGTAGTACTACGTAGACGAGGTAGACTATTTGTTAAAGACATAAATATAATAGTTATGCCAGATGACTAACCAATTCATACTTACTGTGCTAACTGTATTATAGTAGAAAGTAAGAGAGTTTGGACTGAGAAAAAGGTAACGTTTGGTGAAGTTTTTAATTGTTAACTTGAACTGTCCACGAAACTATATGTTTTCTGATTGGGATTCGTAAAACCAATCGGGACTAAGGCTGAACCGCCTAGAGTAACCGGTTATCAGTCGTCTAAGGATGTAGATGGAACAAGATCTAGTCTCGCTGTTGGTCTGGTATTCCTTTGATTTCCTTCTTGGTAACTTCGCTATTTGTAAAGTTCAGTAACTTTGAGAAGATAAACTAACTTCCAGCTTTCTTTGATTTGATAGAATTCTGATGACTTTGGAATGGAATGCGATCACTACTAAGATAAGCGAAATAACGCTACAGTGTAGTGTTTACAATTTTAAGCGATTGGAATCCATAGGATGACGGTAGTTTGATGTCATGAACGCTTCATCATCAGACGTGGTGACATCTTCAGCACTAACTTCAGAACGAAGTAAACAATATTCAGTTCTTACAAGAGTGTTAAGATAGTGTTTTTATTGACCTTGGGTATTATCTAACGTTAAGTTGGGGGAGAGATTTTTACCACAACTTGACCTCCCTGACCGTAAATTTTACTCGGCTAGGCTGGTAAATAATCTTTGTTGCAGTCAAATTGTGATGCTTGTCGTTTTCATGCTGTACATCATTATTAATTTGGTTGATCGATTTTCCCTTGGTTGATGGATGAATGTTTTTCTCGTTTTCTAGGTAGATTATAGACTGGGTCTATATCCATATGTATGCTGATTGACTTTTCGTTTGACTGTCATGCTTCTAGAAATCCTCTTACAGATTTTGAACTTGCTCTTTGGAGGATTTCCACATTCTCCCCGTCAAATTTGTGACCGTGATTGTTTGCATGCTTTGAAACCAAGGAGGACAAGTCATATCACTCTACTGCTAGTTGGTGTTCATGAATTCTTTGAGCAATCCGAAGGTGAGATTGGCCGACACAATGTTATGAATAATCTCTGAAGTTGATTTTGTAGATTGTCTTCGTCCTGTCTTCTTTTGACGACGGATGTTTTTGATTTGGACAACATCCTGTGTAGTGATTTCGTTGGTTTGTGGGCTACTCCGACTTCGAATAGACCAAACAAACACAATCTTAACTTTCGTGTAAGAAGCCTAAGAATCACCAAGCCTGGTGATAAAATGCCCACAACAAAATATCAAAGATCAGAGAACACCAAACCACATTCATTTTAATCCTGAGATACAAATCGTTTCCATCACTTCAGAATCTATCACAATATATTAATGGGACTTGGTTTTTGCTCGTTATTAATCATCCATGAAATATCTGCACCATCGAAGAAATATACGCTTCCTAAAGCGTGAACATCCATTCAGTCGAAATTGGAAAAACTAATAAGGAAAGGCTTTGGATTTAGCAACAAACTTTATATACTTCAGTTTTAAAGAAAGTAGAAGATTGTCTAAGTGTACAGCCAGACGAAAAGTAGATTAATTAAAATCTGCTGATTGCCTACATACATTTTAGGTTTCTCACCATATGAAAAGGAGAGAGATAAAGAGAATAATTAACAAATTGCTTTAAAAAATTTAGCATGATGCTTTTCTTAAATAAATATTATGATTACTCAGCACATAGATCTCTTACTTTATCACACAGTAAACTGAATATTCTTTTCGAATGGTCCTCAATCGACCGAGAAGACCAACACATTGTCAACGAATCAGTATCCTCTATAGCTTGCTTGTAGATGTAGTGATCAGACCGGCTGATAGTATTAGCACAATCTTTATTCAATTCCAAACTACAGACATCACTATCATTACGACGAATAAGTCTGACGGGACTTAATATTCGTATAGACCACCAATATATCATGGGTGTACAGATTCGAAGTTCATGGTTCAAACTAGAACACCATTCTTCAACGGTAAATGTATTAAACATTATTGCTTGAATGAATGTATTATGAGCACGTATTATATAAGGAGAAACAAGAGGATTCGATAACAACTGTACGAAAAGAAGTGATAATTTAGTACAAAAATGTTGAATAAGTTGTCCAACTTCTTGATGATAAATAGGTAACGGATGATCAGGTTGAAATATCAATGCATCCAATGAATTTGTGAGTAGATCACAAAAATGCCTAACTTGTAAATCGAGCTGTAAGGAAAAGAAAAAAAATCATAATATACTAACAATCCAATGGAATCATTATCAAAATGGTTACTTCAAAATATGATACGTGAAAAAGAACAGAATACACTTACACAGGATAGATAACCACCACTAATACGTATAAAACATAACCATCGAAAGATTTCATGGCTAAACAACAAATTTCGATTATCAATAAAACCAAGCATACTTTCTTAGGACTTGGAAGAATTCAATAGAGTTTCTAACCTTGTGTAGGAAAGATATTCGTTTCAAATTCTCACTAATGAACTTCACCAAATATACTATCGAAATAACCACAAGATGATCCATATGAATATATCCTTATTGAAGTTAACATGATTAGTTTTAGGGTGAATTTGACACGAACAGCGTTTGAAGATGAACGCGAGTGATATGCAAAGATATGAATCATTCCACAGAATTGTTGTAGACTTTCAACAATGTAAAAATAAACGTATATTGTACAAGAAAATATAAGCATTGATAAGAATATTTACAGCAGGAGTGAGAGGAGTGTTCGTTGGAAAGATGTATAATGTGACAGAATTACTAATACAGTAGCTTTTCCCAGATGGATAAAAAGTTGTGACGTCTCTCATCAGTCCAAGTCGTAGTGTTCCAGTGAAGTGAAGACCTGGTCAGGAGTTGGATCTCGTATCTCAGTCAACAGAATACCAGACCAGTAGCCCGGAAACTGCTAGTTCGAGTCTTTGCGCGAGCCAAGATCTCACTTCACCCTCAACCATCATCCAGTAACAATAACATCAGTCTGCCTAAATCACGGCTATCTCACTTAGTCTTATTGTGAACTGAAAATCCAGTTTTCTTGAATATGATTACATATACGGCTACTGTTACTAAATGCAGATTACTATGTTGCCATTACCCATCAATTTACCAAGTTGTCTTAGAGATCTTAAGTGCGAATCATTAAGAGTTTCACATCAGGACAACATGAGCAGGTATTAGTCTCTAGTTTTCAGTGGTTTTATGTAACTAGTGATTAACAATAGGAAATAATTATTGAAATTGTACATACACACATAAATATTAAACGAGAAGAAAAATAGGGAATAGAAAACATACCGATTGCATGCGTTTTCGTATTTCACTCTCCTTACTTAGTTCGCTACGTACCACTTCCAGTTGCTTTTCAGTTAAGTGACCACTTAGCTTATCCAGCAACGAGACAGTACTGGCACTATTATCAAATGTATGTTTTTCTTGTTCACTTGCCTTTTGTAATTTACTTGATAAAATATCCATTTGTACATCGTACGAGTACAATTTACTTTCACGCTTAACATTAGCCAAGGATGTTTCATATTTCGGTAAACTATATATATTAATATGAAATGGAAAACAATCCAATATTATTCTTAGCGTGATTGTTATCATAGAATCAAAAAAATGGAAATATTTTTTATTTGTCTAAATAAAGCCCAAAACAAGCGAATGAAAAGCAATCTTGACAGAATTGAGTAAATAACAAGTTGCTAATAGAACCCCTAAAGACGGATGAAACGGTCAGAAAATTGCATTCGTTCCATTTTCTACAAGTAGTAAGTACGCAAAAAGAGAAATTCCACACAGATCAGTTACCAGAAAGGGAACAGCTATATCTGTCTGGCCTCTAGTACTCAGCACTGGTTGAAATACATCGACCAAGTTCTCAAGCTAATTAACTAGACTGCAAGACACCAAAATATAAGATATTCTATAGGTCCAGTGGTAGATTTGGTGTCGTAGAAGTAATAAATTAGATATAGTGGGTGATGACTGAAGGCCAGAAGCAGGATTCACCGGTTTGAATCTTGCCGCGAGCCAGATCTTCATTTTATCTCCAATCATCACCTAGTATGAATAAGACAATTTAACTTAAACACGGTTATCAGGGATATTTAAACCAATAAAACTAAACATGGTTTGTGTAGAAAGATGATGAGTAGTGATAAATACTCGTTAGCTAAATTACAAGTAATGAGTTCGGTGATGACTAAAACAATACATAGCTAGAGGAATACATTATACGTATCACTGGTGTATTATTATTATTATTATTAGTCCCTTGGGTTCCTAGTGGAACATAGGGCTTCAGTAGCACGCCTCCAGTGACCTCTGTTCTCTGAGATCTTTTGAACCTGGTTCCACGACAGCCCAGAAGCTCTCATTTCCTCCTCGCATGACCTCCTCCATGTCACCCTCGGACGTCCAACTCGTCGCTTCCCATGGGGATTCCACTCGAGGGCCTGACGCGTGATGTCCTCAGTCGGCCTTCTCAGTGCATGGCCAATCCATCTCCACTTCCTCCTGCATATTTGTTGCGTGATAGCTTCTTGGTTGGTTCGTTCCCAGAGTTCCTTGTTGCTTATTTTTTCTGGCCATCTGATCTTCAGCAGCGAGCGTAAGCAGTTGTTGATGAATGTCTGTAGTTTATTGGAAATACCTTTCGTGACGCGCCAAGTCTCTGAGCCATACAAGAGCACTGACTTGACGTTGGTGTTGAAAATCCGTATCTTGTTCCAGATGCTGAGTGCAGAAGATCTCCACACTGGTTTCAGGCTAATGAACGCCTGTCTTGCTTTTCCGATTCTGACTTTGACGTCCTCGTCCGTCCCGCCTGTAGTTGAAACAATGCTTCCTAGATAAGTGAAGGAGGTTACTTCCTTCAAGTTTCTCCCGTTGACGGTGATTGGAGTTTGTTGTTGTTGTTGTTGATGGTGGTGGTGCGGTATCTTCATCACTTCTGTCTTCTCTATATTCACCTGAAGTCCCGTCTTGGCTGCCTCTTCTGTCAACTTGTTAGTTTTTGCCTGCAGATCTTCAAGTTTATGTGACATTAGGCATAAGTCATCGGCGAAATCCAAGTCTTCTAGGTTCTTTTCCGTCGTCCAGTGTATCCCCCTCTTCTCGCTGCCTACTGTTTGCTGCATGATCCAGTCCACCACAATAAGGAATATCATGGGGGATAGTAGGCAACCTTGTTTCACTCCTGTCTTCACTTCAAAGGCATCACTGAGCTTCCCATTGTGGATTACTTGGCATGTGGCATCTTCATATAGTTGTTGAATGAGGCGGATAAAGGTTTGCGGTACTCCGTAGTATTGAAGCAGTTTCCAAATTACTTCTCGGTCGACGCTGTCAAAGGCCTTCTCAAAGTCGATGAAGTTGAGGTAGAGAGCTGATTGCCATTCTACGCTCTGTTCTATGATGATACGAAGTGTTGCAATTTGGTCAGCACATGATTTGTACTTCCTGAAGCCTGCCTGTTCCGGTCGCAGTTTTGAATCCAGTGCGTCTTTAAGCCTCTCCAGGATGATGCGGCTTAATATTTTACTTGGGGTGGACAGGAGAGTGATTCCGCGCCAGTTCTTGCAAGCACTGAGGTCTCCCTTCTTCGGCAGTTTGACAAGGTAACCCTTCTTCCAATCGTCCGGTACCTTCTCTTCCTTCCACACCTTCTGCAATAGTGGTGTGAGCATGTCCGCTGTTGTCTCTGCATCTGTTCTCAGTGCTTCTGGCGGTATTCCATCTGGTCCTGCTGCTTTCCCGCATTTCAGTAGCTTTATGGCGTTCAGGACTTCCATTTTCGTTGGGGGATTTATGTTCACTTGTAATTCAGCGGCTGCAGGTGGTATTTCTGGACGAAGTGCAGGTGGTGGTCGATTCAAGAGCTTCTTGAAGTGGTCGGCCCATCGTTTCCTCTGTTTCTCTTCTTTTGTAATTAAATTTCCTTCTTCATCTTTTATTGGTTTCATCTGTGTTGGTCTCTTCCCTGATAGCAACCTGGTTATTTGATACAATGTCGTCAGGTCTCTCTTACCTGCAGCCTGTTCTGCTTCACTTGCCAGTGTTTCGTAGAAGTGTCTTTTGTCTTTGCGTGCACTCTTCTTCACTTCTTTGTCCAGTGTTTTATACATTGTGCTCAGTTCCTCTTGTCGTTGAGCATCCTTGCACTGGTTTATCTTCTGCTTCACCATCCTCCTCTCCTCTATCAGCTTCCAGGTATCCGTCGAGATCCATTCCTTGTCTTCTTTCTTCTTCCTTCCTAATACTGTTGTGCAGGTTTCTTTCCACATAGCTTTCAAAGACTTCCAGTGTTCTTCCACACAGGTTTCTTCAGGGATGTCCCTCGATGTCTCCCATTTTGTCTTGATGGCTGCCTTGAAGATCTCCTTTGTAGTTTCATCCTTCAGTTTCCTAGTGTTGTACTTGAATTGAGGTCTATCACCAGCTTCCTTGAAGGCTTTTAACTTGATTTGGAAGGTTCCTTGCACTAGATAGTGGTCTGAACCTACATCTGCTCCTCTTCTTGACCTTGTGTTAAGTAGACTGCGTCTCCATTTTCTTGAGATTGAGATAAAGTCGATTTGATTTTTAGTGTGTCCATCTGGTGAAGTCCATGTCGCTTTGTGGATATCCTTGTGCCTGAACACACTGCCTCCAATCACCAAATCGTTGAATGCACAGAATTCTGCAAACAATTCTCCATTCTCATTCATTTCACCTAGCGCCTCTCGACCCATGGTTAGTTCTCTTCCTGTGTTGTCACCTCCCAGTTTGGCATTCATGTCGCCCATTAGAATTTTGATATCGCCAACTGACGTCTTGTCCAGTGTTGATTGAAGTTGTCTGTAGAATTCCTCCTTTTTCTCTTGCTCTGCATTATTTGTAGGTGCATAACATTGTATGATTGTGACCTTTCTTCCTTTTGAGTTGAATCTTGCTGTCATGATCCTGGAGGAGATTGGTTCCCACTGCATGAGAGCCTTCGATGCTCTTGAGGACATCATGATAGCCACTCCCTCAGTGTGCTCGTGGTTGGCGTCTGGGTGACCGGAGTAGATTATTGATTCTCCAGTTGACAGTTTGGAGAGTCCACTCCCATTCCATCTGCTTTCGCAAATTCCAAGCACTTCTATGTTATACCTTCTCATCTCCTTTGCAATCTGGGCTGCCTTACTGGGTTCAAACATCGTACGGACATTCCATGTCCCCACGTTTACTTTCGCTTTCATCGAGAGAAGACACATCGGCCAATTGGCTTCCCGAAGGCTTTCACCAACTGGCGTCATTTCGCCTCTCCGATTCCAGCGGGGAATAAGTTTGTTTTCATTTTTTATATTTTGTTTGTGCTTTGAAGTTTCTTTAGCGGTTAGATTTGTTTTACGGGGTAGGGTTGCTAGCCCTATGCCCAACCTTCCCTCTTTACCCGGGCTTAGGACCGGCTAGTAACTAGTAAACTAGTTAACCAGGCGAGGTTGTATCACTGGTGTGCATACTGTAAAGTATATCTTTTAAACGTTACCTAACAAAACGAAACGAACAAAAGGCAATCAGCCACCTTGCGCGGCTGTATATTAGGCAATGAATCACACCTATTGGTGTGAGGGCTGCCTAAACCTTCGTAGGTGGAGCGGCGCTCAATGCAATGACCCATTGTTTGAAAGTCATCTCCTTAAACCAATGAGGCACATCTCCACACAAAAAACATATATGGGACAAAAAAAGCCCACCTTTCAAGTAGTTCATTGTTAAAAAGTTGACCTTCTGGTGTTAACATAATTTGAATATCTTGTTCTGTAATTGATGAAACTGCTTCAGTGCAAAGACTGTGATGAATTCTTTCAATAAGATTCTGACCAATTCCAACAGGTGACCATTTGATTAATCGTTGAAGTGCATATCGATCTGCCTATAAAAATTTCAATAAACGTTAGGGCTGATTAAAATGTGTGCAACACGTTGTTGGATGCGATAAAAGAGAGTGAGCAACGTGTAGCTTTCATGCTATAAGAGGGTCCTAGTTCCAAAAAACACATTTAAGTCAGCTATGATCAAAGTATATTTCCATTCTAACCCTCTTTTCCATCATCATTTCGACATAGTTCTATTTGTATTGATAGTATGTTACTATGCTAACGCAAAGTGCAGCATTCCATTCTGCTTGACTGATCTACTTATTTAGCTGACGAACAAAACGAATGTTTTACATCCCACTTCTATCAATCACTTGATATATGCTTATTTCATCCTTAAGAAAACATAAATCTCGAAGCGCTATCCAGAAATCATAACCGGATTACAACAACCGAATAATCAGAGAGACAATATTATACGAAATCTACCTAGTTTGACAAGAACAGTAGACCAGTAACAGTGTTGTTTGCTAAACAAATATATAAAAGAACACTTCATGGGGACTTTCTTATTTTTTTCTTAGAGCGCGACTAATAAACTCTCAGAGTAGATCTAACAACACTTCTCATAGAGTTCATCTAGACATTTTATTATATAATTTTTTTATTGGTTCATCATTTAATGATCATGATTAAATTGCCTTATCAAACTCGTATAAAATAAATGAAAGTGGTTAGCAGAAATCAGTTATGTTTGCCTTTAATTGAAAGACCCGCAAACTAGTAAGCATATGACTAACTGACTGACTGACATGATCAAAAATTTTCATCAACATTAAATTAACTTTTGATAAACATAAACAAATAATGAAAATCACTAACTGAAATCATATATGGCTGTTTTATAAAATATTCGACAATCTTCAACCATTTATCATTGACTAATAAAGTATTTCCCGAGGCTTCAGGATTTTCCTGATTAAATAATTTTGGAAGTTTAAGCTTCCCTTGCAATTGCTCCCACAGCATAGGTCTGACATGAACTGAAAACATAAAAAATAGTAACATATAGTCAAGTGTAAAAGAATCCATGACTGTAGAATGAAAGTAAACAGAGGCTGATTATCGTCTAGATATTCGTTAAAAAAAACATCAACCGTTAGATATTGGAGTGATAGGTTTATCCCTCACTGAGTTGCGTGATCTCTTGGACCCCATCCTGGGAGTCATGATGCACCAACAGATGCTAATCCGATACAACTATCCGTCGTCCCCTGGTGCCACGTCATACACCGACCAGCGCTTTGCTTCTTCCATCCAGTCCCAAGGCTAACAAACAATGAACGGTATGGAAGCCGTTGGGAGGACATGCATAATGTCAGATATGCCAGTTAGTGATAGGAGTATAATTAATACAAATATTCTCCACCGTGTACTAAGTCTCTCATTGAAAACCTAATAATAATGTTACTTGTACTAGCCCGTCGTTGATTGGACCGAATTGATCGGTCTCTATTGGTATATCGGCTCCTGCACGAAAGCCTCGACACCGCCTGTATTTCAAGTATATATTAATGATGGATCACGGCTAGCAGTGGAATCCAGGACGTGCGTTTCGTCCTGTTCAGGACTCGTCAGCTGGATGTACCTGCCTCCCAGTGAGGTTTGGGCGGCCCTCACACAATAGGTCTGGTTCATTGCTGTTAGGGATGTCTATATCCCCTATATTCCATACTTACAGTTTGTGTGTATTTGAACTGTTTTACTTCACGCTCTCTTTCCCGCGCACGGGTCATAGTTCATATGACTCGCTAGTGTTTTGATTGGCCCCTGTCTCTTTAAGTATACTAATTACTCCCTGTCTTTCAAGGTTGCTGTAAACTGCATAAATAGGGTCTATTTTCACTGATAAAGGTTTTCAGTTCGAGATACTATAACTCATCTGATTTCCAGTGTTTCGATTTCTCTTTGCGAACCACTCAGGTTGAATCGTCTCGACCCTCGACTATCAATCGTTAAGTATTTTCGTTTGTTCTCGTAACTCCGCATCATAACAGTTGCCTACTGCATAAATGTGTACAAGGTGGCTGAGTACGCACTTATTTTCTTTAATTTTTCTTCCAACCAGCCACAGAGTAGAAATACAGTGGGCGGAGAGGGAGCATCTGGAACAACATATGTCACATATCCAACTCAGTGAGGCCAGTGTTTAAAGATGACCTCATGCAGCGAATGACGATCTCTATCGCGCCCACACACACACCACTATTTAATGGAATTGCTTACATAGTAATTTTACCGGATGATAGAAGTGTTGCAGAAACAACGATGATCGAACACGCACATTCTTCAAATATCCTCAGTTCGAAAAGGTCAAGTTTCGCGAATATGAAGCAGAACTACTCGCACCGATGCGTTATATATCCGACCTTTTAAAGAAAGGTTAACATAATGATGGAGCCAAAGGTAACCCACATTAGCGTGTGGCATTCTGGCTTTTGATATACCGCTGGAAATCACATCAGCAATGGTTTCACCAGCACTCAGACAGCTACCCGGGAACACAGACTTTGCTACACCTTCCGACGATTAACCACTAAGAGTGAGTTCAGGAACAGGTTCTCGACAATTTTGTAGAAGCACTTTACGCTTTGACGGTGAGAATTACATACCATACTTACAGATACTGTCACTAACTGACTGAGTGGGATATGAGTGGCCTGCATTTTTCAGCACAGTAAAACGATTTCATCTGTATACATGAGGTCGAAAAGTTTCCCACTTCGTAAAACGTCTACACCACCGTCATGCACCTCACTCACAGCTGTCTCGAGGAAATCATTGACAGCAAAGTTGAAGAGTGGTGAAATTAGTTTATCCTGTCCAACCACACTATTGGTACTTGGAACAATGCAGATAGGTGGCTGTATGCCTTCTCTCTAATCTGAAGCATTGAAGCTTATAGCTTTCAGTATGTTAACAAAGTTTTCAGGGAAACCTTTCTCTAACAAACAATTCTAGAGAAAGGTCCTGCCCAAAGAATGGAAAGCAGCCCAAATATCAGAAGTTATTTACGTAGCTTCGTAAGAATAAGAAATAATTATGATACTTCAGTGTGAAGTGTACTTACGAATACACGGATGACTGGCACAGAATGCACTCAGAGTACAGATGTCGAGTAAATGGAGCAGTAACGGATAAGAAATACCACTATTTTCTGCAGAAATTTGATCACACTTGAGCATAGTAGTTGAGGGTAAAATAAGCACATTGATAAGTTTACACAAGAAAGAACCAATAGACTTGATACGACTCGTAGGTTGTTCCGTTGTCTGTAGTTCAGATGTAGAGTAGGAAATATTATTCCAGACGTTAATTCCAACAAAATCGCATGTTTGTAGACATAAAGGCTCTGAAAATAGTCCTGAACCCAGAACAAATGAATTAGATGATGGTGGAGGTTGTACGACATTAGGATAGTTGACGAGAAGGATTTGTAGATTTTTCAAAAATCCCACAGTCAACTGATAGCGATGTTCTTGGTTTGAAGATTCAAGGAGCTCACGAATACTGATAAGATTCGGTTGCCGTACAGTATCGTAAAAAGGATGAAGACAAAGTAGCAGGAATGTTCTGTATATGAAGCTACAAAAGTAGAACAGAAATGTAGAAGAATGATTTTAAAAATTCACATTTATAGACCACATCTTCATTGAATGCATTTCACAAAGAAACAATAATATCAAAAATAACAATTCATTAACTCACCCAAGAACTTCATCAGGAATGAAAGCATGAAGATCGGGAAGGAGCAGTCTGAACAAACGACCTATTGCATACAACACTGGAGAGGAAGACAAAAATTTCTTTTAGAATTTGCCGGTTTATCTGACAAGAATATTAAGTAGACGAAAGGCAGAGCAAAAGTATGATAATTGGAAGAAATGAACAAAACCGAACGATAGACTAGTGCTGAAGTTCTCTGCTACTGGAGGTGTGTGGGAGGTTGACATTTCTCAACTGTTCATAGTTAGAAAAGCTATTTCTTTTTAAGGTACTCAAACGAGTTGATTTTTGTGACCACAGATCCATGGGATATCTGCTTGAGGTCTGTCACACGCAGCCTTTTGCAGATTGTTGTATTGAGATTCGATTGTTCTAACGCCGGATAGAGAAAACCCATACAACCGGCACCAGAAGGCCATGTGGCAGGTTTGAGTGTGCTGTTTCTGGGGCCAACCTTTTCTAGAAACTCATTCGCTCCCCATTGGGAAGGCAGTATCAAGGTGATACTGCTGGTCATCCCAGGGGAACATCTTACTGCTGTTACACCACAGTAAGCTAGTAATACGACTTCGCCCTCGGACTCCCCATCATAGTGTGGTAATTTACACTACAACGGTAACTGTTTTTCGTCTTACGATCATCCAACGGACCTTCCTGGTATGGTAGGACCTAGAGGGAACAGGAGTTTCAGTCAGTGCAACCAGCCAGGTCATTGTGATAGGCAGGCCCGACCAAAACGTTAAGGTAGCGGCTATCGATCGAGAGATTTTCTGCTGTGCTGTGTCAAAATGACCTAGTCCTTTTATTTCTGAAAACAACGAATGTATTAGGGATGTTGATGCGTCACTCAAACCCAGATGAGATCTGAGTTTGACTTTATCACTGTACCATAACGCTGATGCTACGCATACAAAGGAAACATAATTAAGGTTTGCATACTTTAGACCGTCACGGGGTATGAAAGTCACTCGTCTTTCCACTGTAAACACACGCTAAAGCAGGATTTGAGTGACTTTAAAGACCACTCTACAACGACTAAAACTATCGGTTAGGTTTCTTTTATTTGGCTGCATATATAGGTTTTTCATAAGGGACCCTATTGGATTATCCCAGTAAACGTTGGAGTGGCTTTTGAAGCCATTTCGAAATTTGAGTTCTAGGACAATCACTCATTTTAGCAAGTAATTTAAACCTATTAAAATTCTATAATCCAGTCCACTGACCAGAAATAGTTTTCACAAAAATACTACTGCTGAACAAATACGTGTCGACCGACTGACATATTTGAAATGAAAAACACAGTGCAGCCCAAATTTCTTACAACAGGCGAAGAAATGTATGACGACGCCACAGACTGACAATCAACCTTTAGAGCAGACTGATGGAAAAATGTTTTTCATCCATATGATTAAAATACTCATAGTGTAAACATAACTAAATAAGTCACAAGGTTCACAGAGAATTCACGAGTAACTTTAAAAGCCAGTCTAGTAACAACAGTAATAACCAATCACATTTCTTTATTTCATGAAAGTCTGCCTTTACAGCTGAAGTTAAGAAATCTAACTGGTTACATCAGTTACCATTATGATGACCTTATACATCACTCCGTCAACCCTGCGCAACTTGAACTAAAACTGGAAAAGGAGATAATCACGCGTAAATTGTGCATTATTTCTACTGGTTAAATCAATGAATTTCAACATACAATGCATATTTATCTATCTTGTAGTTAATGAATAGATAATAAGTGCAGAAATCCTAATTTAACATTTCCTTATCAAACATTAGAGAATCTAATGTGATATTATATTCACAGATGGGTTTTCTAAAATCTCTATTGAAGCAGTAACACAACAGAGTAATCTGATGATATTCGTTAAATATGTTAATCCATTGCTATCATTTAAAGGTAGTTCAGCAGCTGGTTCAAAAAGATATGTAGTGTACACATCGTAGTAAGAGGTCTTATGATAACGGCAAGATGCAATTTTCGCATGAATTCCTGATTCACAGTTAACAATAAAACAATAGTTTATGTGGAGACCATTGACCTTACACATATGATTTCCCGTATCATGATAGCGTACACAAGCTACTCTTGACTAAAAAGAATAGACGTAGAGATAAGTTTCATCTAAATGCATGGATCTTGAATCTACAATGACTATAAAGAAGCACAATTTTCGTTTTGTGTGCTTTTTACTTTTCAAAATATCCCGTAGATATAATCTACTTGGTGGTAGCTAGCAGTGGAGGTTTAAGGAAATGACTACCAAGCACTAGGTTGCGGGTCCAAGCCCAGCTCCACCTATCAAAGTTCTGGTAGCCTGGTAGTATCACTAGCCATCACACAAAAGGCGTGGCTCATTGCCTACCGCAGGGATGTGCACAAAGTGGCTGAGCATATTTCGTTTGTTCATGGCTAGCAGTGGAATCCCGAACGCGCGTTTGAACTTATTTGGGACTCGTCAGCTAGATGTACCTACATCTCAGTGAGTGTTGGTGCTCTCTATAAAACTCGAACCCTCCAACCTATGCTTTAAACCTGTGTTTTAGATTCCACTGATAGCCACCATCAAGTAAACTGTGATGATGAAAACTCAGACAATATCGAGGCATCCGTATAGGAGCCTACATCTCAACAGAAGTCGACCAATTCGATTTAATATAATAACGGAAAAATACAAGGTTTAACAAACAATATCCTGTAGATAATTCACACCTCGTAATCTGACAAATCAGTTATAGTAATTTGCATTAATAATAAGCTGAACAGTTTCAAGGTAAAATACTTTTTAAATCTAATCTTAACCGTTATAAAAGTGTTATCTCACAGTACGAAACTTTAATCAACAATTTAAAGATTTTAGTACCATAGAAAGGTGCTGTTTGTAGAAACTTCTCAGTGAACCAAGGACATCGCTTGTTACTACTTCCTGATACATTTGATAGCATATTCCAGAAAGATGAAGATTTAATGTTGGACTTGAATGTTTCTTCTGTAACAGGTGATTTTATAACAGACAGGGTATGCCGTAGCCATATCAAAGATGCCAAAGCAGATTTATGAACTGCTGCAGAGTGGAAAGGCTGACCAGAAGCTTGTTCGATTGAGCCTAACAGACTTGGGATAAGAACTGGTGGTAAATGGCTCGCATTCATATCTACAATAACAGAAATGTACAAATCATTGTAGAGAGAAGATAAAGTGTCTAAAATCTATACAAATATTAACAATTAGATTACTTCTGGATAGCATATTTTAATGGACGCTGCTTTAATTAATGAATTGGAAACAAACTTTCAAACATCTAGGTTACTGACTTATAAATTATTTTTCTAGTGTTTCCTCATGTAACGTTAAAGACACAAACGATAGCATAGTCTTTATCCAAATTGAGTTACCGAAAACTATTCATCTTATGTTGTTGCCTGTATATTCCCGTCGATGATTGAACCAAATCGATCGGTCTCTATTAGTATATTGGCTCCTGTGTGGAGGCCTCACAGATGAGAGCTCTTTCTCCCCCCGTAATGTCAACATCTATTTCAGATATTTGGGAAATTCTACTACCAATCTACGACAAATGAAGGAGGAGGAGGAATAGCATCATTAAAAAAAAGGTATGTAGTTACCTTTGATACGAATATAGACAATAAACTCTGTTCAAAACGATATCCAGTAAGTAGTACTGTTTAAAAGTATGAAATATCTAACAAACAAATTAACCTGGAATTAAATACTACCACAATGCCCAATGTGTACTCTTACGTTAGAGCTCTGTGTATTTTTTTAATATAGTGCTCTAGACAATCTGATAACGTTTAGTAAAAGCCAATATTGGGCTCAAAACTCTTGAAAAAACTATCAACGAAAAAAATTCTCGAACGAAATGGAACAAACTTGTTGAACCAATGACAATACGGCTCTTTTATGATGTAAAGAGAGAACAGATCCACAACAGCCAGAACATCAAATGGCATGTGTAAAAATTAGTCACTGTGGTATAGTGTAATTCCATATCAGATTTGTATATTTGATTTATTACACAGTGATACAGTATTATTTACATGACGTTTTGAATATAAATTGTTGCTCATAACCATATCAATGTAATGGCACTACTTTCGATATCTAGCTTTTACAGTCCTGTCACCTCATGTTATTTGTTTTTATTGGTAATAAAATTTTCCATATCTCTGGTATAGGTGTTACTTCATTCTTATTACATGTGTTAGGTGTTGATTCGATGAACTAAGATTAAGTAATCAATCTCTCTCTCTCTCTACCTACCTACCTACCTAATTATATTGGACCTAAGTAGTGCTTTTATCCCAGTGACTCAATGGTAACATACTAGCCACGGAACCTGGGTTCGATTCCTGGGAGACGGGGTCATAGGTACGCACTGTTGAGGAGTCTCATACTAGGAGGAAACAGCTGTCCAGTGCTCCCAGGTTTTTAGTGTTCCTCCAACTGATGTATACGTATATCTTTTCCGGTGCTTCTAGTAAACTAGAATGTAGTTCCGAAGGTTTAAGACATCTCATCAACCTGAGTTTAGCGTTCCATATTAGATTTTTTCTAATTTATAGCACACAGTAATACAGCATTATTTACTTGATGATGTTTCAAACTTAAATTGTCACTGCTCATAAACATATCTCCGCAATCACACTACTTTCGACATTTGATTTTTATAGTCCTGTCACCTCCGACAGGTGTTTAGACTTCGAGTCATCTCATCCAATGTCAGTTAAGGCAGCCTTAGTCAAATACCTAAATGACACAGATAGAAAACTGACTATTCAGTACAAAGACCTAAACAAGGAATTGAAACACGTAAAAGAAGCACTAATAGTTAATAATTATCCTCCGCAGTTGATTCAGAAATTCGTACGAACACATGAGAAACGAAATAATAACAATAACGTGAGTACGAATAATAACGGTAACATGAATAGAAAGTTCACAGCCCCTCCATTATGTTACCCTATAAGGAAAGTACATCGAAAACTTTATGTAGGATCCTCAGCAAGACTAGAATTAGAGTGGCATTTTGACCTACAAATTCACTCAGAGATAAGCTTTGTCGACTGGCTTAAGGATAGAACCAATTCAGCAAAATAATTTAATCTATCAAATTCCATGTAATGACAGCGAGGTAAAGTACATGGGTCAAACTAGCCAGTCGAGATCAGTAGGACTAGCGGAATGTATGAGTTTAGCTAAATATAGAGTGACAGACACGAATAAGATCAATAGTCTAGAAAAACACTCGGTTAATGCAATGCATGCATTAACACAACCACACAAAATGGTGTGTGGGATAAAGCCACTGTACTCGAGTTCAATATAATTTGAGAGAGAGAGAGAGATCACTGAATCTTTGTTCATCGAATCAACACCTAACACGTAATAGGAATGAAGCAACACCTAAACTGGGGATACGGAAAATTGTACTATCAATAGAAACAAATAACATGAGGTGACAGGACTATAAAAATCAGATGTTGGAAGTAGTGTGATCACATTGATATGGTTATGAGCAATAATTTATATTCAAAACGTCATGTAAATAATACTGTATCACTGTGTTATAAATCAAACAAACAAATCTAGTACAGAAGCAGATATCATGCTTATAATCCGAAAGTTTACACAAATCATGAATATAAAGTTGTCTCTAATTGTAGCGAGTTTTGAACGCTTTTCCAGTAAGCGTAATGCCAGTACAGTTTACAACTGTAAAGAGAGTTTCAAGCAGGATTAGAACGGCTACGTGGTAACTCTGAAAACTGCAGTTCGACTTTGATTAGAGAGGGTAGTTTCTGGAAGATACAATATCAAGTCACAGCCCGAAGACTCAAACGTGGATATCTGAGAAATTTGACCGCTTCAATAACAGTAACAATCTGACCTATTAGCTCTTGCAATTGCAGTCATATAGTTTATTATGTTTGGGGGATAGTTGAAAAAGATACCGGCCACAAAGCTTGTAATAATGAAGTTCAGGTGATCAACAAGATTGGGAAGGTTCTCAATGCCTTTACGAGGGAAATTCAAAGGTCGGGTTAAATTAGTAGTTCAAGTTGGGGATGGTCTCTCTGAATAGCCTTTTTGGCCATTTTAAGCATGTTGTAACAGTACGTTTTCAATAAATTTATCTATCAGAGAGACATTGACTTTTTCTCCATTTAAAGAAAACCGTTAAACGCATGTCGAATATACATAACGTAGTTTTATACTGCCAGTCGACTTATCGCCATTAAATGACTCACTGTGAATTTAATAACAGGCATATTTTAGGGATCGCAACTTTGAAGTGCAGATAACATATCATTGTATAAATGTACTAGGATAATAATAATAATAATTCACTTTAGGATGAAAAGATTGATATTTGACCTTTGTACACGGACATTTTCCGATGGAACTCGACACTGCACCAGTAGAAACAAAGTGCCTGAGAATCGATCGACTACAATACACCACACAAAGCAGAGAAGCTTACAGATGAGTTTTAATCACAAAACATCAATACATAAAGATGAGGAGAGAATTCTTGATAAAAATCACGAACTATTGATTTATAAGTCTTGCCAACCTCATCCAGGTGACTTGTGGTTGCTTACACAATCCGACCCAATAATCAGAATCTTCATAAATTGGTTTAACCTTACTCCGAACTTCCTCTCACCAGCACTGGCACTGGGTGGTGGGTATTACATCAATGGAAAATATATGTATAACAGTTACGAATAAAAGCAACTCACTATTTGACAAAGCGACATCTAAGCACATGAGTAAAATTGAGTGAACGGATGCACTCATCTTATTTGAGAAAGAGAACGACTAGATAAATGAATTTTAAAGAAAAATAAATTTTGTATTCGAAGTAAATAAACAGACATTAAAAATATATATATCAAATAGCAGCAAAAATAATTTCGGAACAAGGTTAGTTTTTTTAAAGAACATGGTACACATTATGCTGCAGAAATTATATAAAGGATTACTCATTGTTTGTAAATACTTGTGAACTCTTACTTAGAAGTTTTCCACCACATTTCTAACTATGAACATGCTTTTAACTGAGGATTCAAAGGTACACCCTCAGAATAAAATAAAAATACAAATGGATGGTGGATATATACAAATTAGTGAATATAGGCACTTGATACACTATAGAATACACCAGTTTTTGAAGTGAACGATGTGGTCAGCTGGTTTTCTAACTTAGCTTAAGTGTCGATTAGTTTAAAACATACGTATCTGGTATGCTTTGATAGTAAGAACGGGCCAATGAACGAAATACACTCGACAACCATGTGCACTTCAGTACAATAGACAATGAGCCATATCTATTGTGAGAAAGTTAGTGATACTACGTGTCCACTCAGACCTAGGTAGATGGAGCATGGTTCAAAAACGGAACCCAATAGTCTACAATTAAGTGCCCACACCAATAAACTACAGTTCCACTACGCTTTTAAACCAAATACTCATAACTCTGAATAATTTATGCTAACAAAAAGATTTACAATAAACTGTTATGGGGAAATTTATAATGAAGAGTAAAATATGATACAGTATTTTGCATAGACTTTTCATTAACTAGAAGATTCAGTGGGAAAATATTGAGTTAACTGAGAACATGAATTATAGAGCGAAATTCCAACGCCCTTTGACGTTTTGATAGAGTACTTTAAAGTACACTGAACTAGCAAGTTACCCTTATGTTAATTGGTTGAAGGTAATCAACAGGAAGCTTTAAACCTAGGTTTCGTGCTTGTTGGCGTTCGCCAGCAAGGCACATCTACAACCCAGAGTGAACTAATGTTCCCTGTGAGATTCAAACCCACGTCACCTAGTATTGTGGTCAGAGATGTTGACACTGAGGTATTTAGTCCAAGGGTTCCTGTTGAGTGTTTCCAACTATAATCCATCAAAGTACATCGCGATATGCTGAGACTTCTAGCTTAGTAACCATATTGCAAAATGATAGATAGAATTCGGTCAGCAGTCAGGCCTAGGGAATATGGGATTGGTTGTTCTCCAGTGACCAATCAATGTAGCTTCCCCTTACTTTTACTTGAGTAGAAGTAATTATTACACTTAAACGAAGATATAACGTCAAAGCGTAAAATGAATGATTACTGATCTCACTCAGTTGACAGGAATTCTGTACGTTATAGTGAAGGTGTCTAGTAAAAATCGGTATTGGGAAGGCTATATGAAAAGGGAATCGATAGCTGTAACTGAAAAGCTCCTATTTAATCTTAGTAATAATACTTAGGACTTATTATCCACATATCCTCACGTTTCTTTTCTCTGTTTTAATCTATTTCATTGTTTTTATTGAAACTGTACTATTTTGAATAGTTGGGTTTACGACTAGAGAACTACCACATCAGATTCTCAGCTACTTTTCAATCTTGCATATCAATCAGACAAATAGTATTGAAATTATTCATATTGCAGATCAGTAACTTTATATACATAGCTTAAAAATGCATAGCTAAAACAATGTGGAAAATTGAATGCTCAAATCTGCAGAATCATATGGTATGAATGACCGAAAGAAATCGTAAAAATATAAACTACCTTGATAAAATTAAAAAAGCGATCAGGAGGATTCGATCGAAGACGACTCAACCATCTTCCCAGTTGCTTAGCAGTACATGTTATTCCCTCTTCATAGGCTGAAACGGAAAATTCTTTATTTTTTTACATCACACATTATGAAGATTTAGAAAGACTAAGCTTAACAAGATATTGACAAGTAGTAATACGAAGTAGCAACCATGTGCCCGTTCATGTACTGGAGTTAATCCCCACCTAGTGAGTAAGGGTGAGTCATGTCGTCCTGTCCTTCAAACACTGGGTAAATAGAATGCTGTTCAGAACTATTCGACTACTATTAAAACAAGTGGCCAAAGGCCATGAGAAAGGCCTCATACAGATGTATTTTGTCAGCGTATTCTATCGTCCGATGATCAAGTGAATGGACATGAGATTATTTTCCGTTAGCACAGCAACTCCTTGTAGCGGCTCTTTTGTTATTATGGAAGGGTAAACTTTATGATACTTTATCAGTATTGCTGATTAACCAAGGAATTCAGGACACACGTTGTGTCTTATTTTACGATTGTCCAGTGATCACTGTCTCTATTCCATACTCCAGTGTCTATACCCAGCTTTGCATACATCAGGATTTCATGTCCAAGTTTATGAATACTGTATTCAGAAATCGTATGCTTCAGATGATACTCAGTAGGACTGGTAAAAATGTGAATAAAATTAGGAACTTGGACTAATTAACCTTTTGGATTCGCTATCGACTTATGACAAACAGTGGCTACATTATGAGAATAGTGCTGCTCAGGCGAGCTGTTAGCTTGCTAGGATCGATACAGAAATATATTTCAAAGGGAAAGATAAATGTCTGGCAACATACTTGGGTCTTTCCATGCCTCAATTACTTGGGCGTTTATTGTGTGAAACTGCTTTTGTACCACTCCGCATAACTCTTCAGCTTCCCTAAGCTAATCTCCGGATGCTTTTATTTTTCCTAAAAAAATCTAGCCGTTATATATAGGAGGTGAATGCGAAAAAAATTACATTTCTGATTGCATGCTGTTAATCACGTGCCGCAGTTATACCACAGTTGGACAGTGTAAACGAAACAAAACAGTAATTCTTGCAAGAAAGGGAGGAGATTCTTAGAATGAAAAAGCTCATTTCTATTTTATGATTCATATAACCCACATTTCAGAACGTTGTGGAGTTGCCTTGATATGAGTATGGACAAAAAACTGTACCCGTAACGTTGTCCAGAAAATACTGCTGTTAACACTGTATGATATATTTCATAAAATGGGGCTAAATGTCAAAGCAAGGACGATGGAAGAAAGAAGAGATGGTTATTTATCCAGATGAACATGCCAAGGAATATGAGAAACTGAAGGGATTACAACTGCTGTATGGTGAAAATGTCCAGAATCCGATTAATGCAGAATATAAGGCCAACATTTCGATAGCTTTTATCAAAGTAAACAGAAGACTCAAGCAGAACTTCATTTTGTGAAGTCATTGGTCACTAAACGAATTTGATCTGACTCCTTTATTGGGAAGAAATAAATCGCTACCATAACTTAATCCTAATATCTGCTTTCCTGGTTATTCTATCCCGATACACTCCTCTGCATACTTTGCGGTCACTTTAACCATTTTTTCAACATTCTGATCGGCGTTGTCATGTATTCAATCACTTAACCTTTTTTATTTGCCTCATTTTATAATTTCGCTAGTATACCCTTATTGTATCTTACCCATTTAAGTTTACATAATCTCATTTCCAATTAAGCAGATAGTCTGCTCTAGTGCCATCTGTAAAGATTATATTTCCACCTAGAACTTTACCCCTCACAAAACTAAGTTCTTGATTCTTTTCATTGCATTATAAATAAATTACGTTTTTTTACGCAACAACTATTATATGCATATTACAAGTTATCCGCAGTTCAAAAGAAATCGTGAAACAGAAGGTCCCTTTCTTCTATACAGCTCATTCTTTTCGCGTTCACCAAATATGTCAGAATGAAAATGAATGAATGAAATGCTCTCGACAGCCTTATGAGTATTTTTGTGGTAGGCAATGAGCCATACCTATTGTGTGAGGGTATAGGCTACTTACAACCTAGCTGCTTAAACCTCGGTAGGTGGAGTGGGGCTCAAACCTATGACCTAATGGTTGTAAGTAATTTCCCTAAACCAATGAGCCACAACTCCACAAAAATATCTCGGGGGGAAGGTGCATGAACTAATAGTTCTTGGTTTACTTCTTTGTTGGAGCAAAACATTAGTCATCGGGTAGGATAAAAAGCTGAGAGTATTTTAACAAAGTTAAAAAGTAGTTAACAATGTTTAAAATACTAGGAGTTCAAAATCATACTGCAGGGAAAACCTGTATGATGAGAATACTTTAATCTTTGGTGCTAACCGACCTAATCAAAATGAGAAGGACCACCATAAATATGAATCACTGGTCATGGTCATACAAAAGGTTCTATCCGACACATCTGTTGAGTGGTAGTAATACTAACTATTCCAATCATTAAAGTCAATTAAGTCTGTAACCTTCATAGCATTATAAATCACCAGCCGAATACTTTCATATTTATTTTAAAAGTGAAATACAAATTATATATACACAAAATAACTTCGTATTTTACTTAGTAAGCATTTCAATCAACCAATATAGACCACATATACAAAACTCACATTCTCGTTCTAAATAATCTAAAAGTAAGTTAATGGCAACAGTAGCAACACGGTCTGAAGTTGATTTTTGTTGGATTCCATTCTTAGAAAGTTCACCGAAGCATATGATTGCAGTAAATCTTGATTCCTGATTTGTTTTCTTACTCTCAGGTCCAGCAAACTGTGCATGAACCTGTAGAAATATCAAAGCTACATGTGTGCATACATACAAAATATTATGCTCACCTAATAAAATGCATATATTAAATGAGTGTATATACATGTAGATCTTGGTAAACCAATTTCTAACAAATAACTGTGATCAAGAAAGGGTTTTTCATAGTAAGCCGTTGTTTTTGATTCAATCGGACGAATCACATGACCATGGAACCAGAGACCGGGAGTCGAATGATACTACTCTGGTTAGTATATATATTAAACAAAGCGCTTTTATAATTTTGAATTAGAACTTTATTGAGAACATTAAATATACCCAGTGTGCCGTTTGGAAGATGAAAATTCCAGTGAAAACATGTTGCCCATTAAGCTTCATCAGATTTCACCTCCCAAAGTAATGGCTGACACAAAAGAAGGTATAAGTATCAAGTGCCCAAGAGAATTCGGAGATTGATAACTGTTTTTCAGACAACTTACTTCGAAATTGAGATGGCAAAATAATTTGTTTTAGAGGATTTTAGATAGTGAATATATAGAAAGATTAATGATCACATTGTAGACAATAATATGCTAGTTCAGTGATACAAGATACCACGTGTTAAGAGTTTATCTTCGAAAATCACTGGAGCAACGGTTATGAAAAATATAAATTCAGAACTTGCATTGCAAACCTTTATATTCTCTAGTTTCCTCATGGTCCCCCTTGAAAGTCACACAACTCCTGTGCACAATCTCTTAAAAAAATTGATTTCATCTGCCAACTAGTTTTTTTTTAATCTTTTTTCATTTAAATCGAAGTTCTGTAGTCACTATGAAGTGTTTTAGTCTTTATACACTTATTTCCTACTGAATAATTAACTAATTACCAAAAACCCATTGGGAAAATTTTGTAGTGCAACTTTATTCTCGATATAAGTTATTTGTACAAATAACTATCAATCTCTAAATTCATTTAAGCACTTGATATGCACACACTGCTTAGGAAAAACCACTGTATTTAGAGGAGTTGGATGAGACTTAAGCAAAAGTGTTCATTCACTCAAAATTTCATTTTTATTTTCGAAGATTTCCTTATTTTTATAGCTATTAAAGAAGTTTGGAACACGTAAGATCGCATTTAAATTTACAAATCACATTACAATCATAGGACGCAGGTTAGAATAATGCTTTCCAAAGTTTAAATGTAGCCATTGCTTTATTACGATAAATAATGATTTACTCATTTCTAATTGAATCCTCAACTATTTATCTATTTCAGACCTTAGTTCATGATGTGTTTTTAACAAAGATGAGGATGAAAATGTGGCATGTGAAATGTAAACTTCGCTACATAGTTAATATATTTCCACAAAGATGCCATACTGAATGCATCAAGATAAACTGATTTAAGTGGTGTTTTATGAGTCCTGATTTGTATAGAACAACCAGTCGTCATTCATAGACATAGTTTTCACAAAGTGATTAAACGTGAACATTTGTCTATTAATATGAAATATTTAGGACCGAAAAATACTTAGATTCCTATGCTATTTCAATCAAAAGAAAAGCACCTTACAAGTTTACATAAAGCAGAAAGAGAATCAGCTTCTGAACACTTTTTTGAAAGTGTAGATAACACCAAAACGGCATCTTTTCTAGTTAGCTCAGATACAGCATGCAGGTTTTTTATAGCTGACTGAGCTAACTCCATAGCACACAAATCCAAACTGAAGGATAAATCTTCGAGTAAAATATTTACACCTAAAAAACAATTAAACAGAAAAATATGAAAACAATATTACAAAATGCGACAGAAGCTAAACAAATATTTGTATTATCAGTAAATTTGCGTAAAAACACCAACAATACTAATCAGCATACATTAGTTACATAATGAGGTCAGCGTCATAAAAATTCGAAAGAGAAATACAAACTTATGTGTTTTTATTTAGCTTACAGGAACCCGTTTTATGCTAAAAATACTCTGATAGCTTGAACTACTCTCCCAGCTTGAATTTTTCACTAAAGAATCTACATTATCAAGTTAGACCTAGATATTAAAACCACCATAACGGTAACTGAACTTTTATGCATTGAATGATTACAGGAAGTAACCAGAAAGAGAAAAAAAATGATGTGACCACATAGCCCATGGGATATCTGCTTGAGACCTGTAATAGAGCCGTTTGGTGTTTGGTTGTTCTAACATCGGATAAGAAAAACTCATACCACTGGCACTGGGAAACTATAAGGTAAGGAGTGTGCTACTTTTTAGGCCAACTGTTTCTAACGCCTTCTTCCTATACGGAAAGCAGCACCAGCATGGGACTGCTGGTCACTTAAAGGGAACACCTTGCTGCTGTCGCATCTCATCGAGCCAGTAGTACGACCTAACCCTAAGACTCCCATCATAGCACAAAAATGTACACTGTGATGGAAACTGCTTTTCGTTTTACCACTATCCAACAAACCTTTCTGGCATGGTAGGACTTCAAGGAGCAAGTGTTCGAGTCAGTCTAGCTTGTTGGGTCATTGTGATATACAAGCCTGACCCCCACGTCGTGAGCAGCTATCGGTCAAGTATCGAGAGACTACCTAACGATGTCAAATATTTTTTTCCTTTACCACCGCGCCATCCGAAACAAAGCATTGGACTGAAATTTGAACTTTTGAAACAATGAAGGGAAAAACACGAGAGAAATAGGAAAACTGAGTGAGTAAATAAGACTATAATGTGATCAGTTTTTCAGGTGGAAACGCAAATAAACGAGGTTATTTTCTCATATAAAGATGTAACGCCTTTGACCAAAGATCATAGCCAAAATGTATATTTCCCGGTATAACGAAGTGTTAATCTGTATGCTGCTGTGAAACGCGGCAACTTGAACCAATGTACTGCTGGGCAAGGTCTTACATTAACCTTGCCCATCTGTTTTCGAAACTTAAAGAGCATTTACCTATACCTTTCAAAGTATGATTTTGTCGAATCCAAGCTGGTGATGAATCGATGCATTCAGGTCCGAAACAACATCAAACACAGAATTAATTTTGAATGGAATCCTAACACATCGCCTTCATATTGATACGATTATCACAAACAACACGAAGCTCTTAATCTTATAGTGCCTAGTACTTACTTTGGTTAAACTGTCGACGCCGCAATTTTCATGGGGTTAAGTTATGATATTAAATATTGTCAAAGATGACAATTAACAGAGACCCAAAACAGCCTATATGTTCACTGAATAAAGCGATTCTCACTTGTGTTTCTTTTGAACAGTTGACATAGCCATACTTACAGACACTGTGATGCCCTTTCTAAAATGCAAGAATGAAAGAGTGGAGTCTTCTCAACTAGCCAAACAATGTCGTGAACAGGAATGCAGAACCGACTGTTTTTTAATTGATGGTCTTCTGGCAATAGGGATGTAAAACCGCTGGTTATCTTAAAACTCCTCGTTTAGTGATGTCAGTCAAAAGTTTACGTTGTCCATTATTATGTAACTGTATCAAGAACGTGCTTATGGAGGTCCTTCTCTTACTAGCTGACTACACAGATATAACTTTTCACAAGAAACGCAGATAAAATGTTCGAGTTAGGTGGAGAACCTGACAAAATTCAGTCGTACAGACACCGTGAATAACACTTTAAGAATGTTTGGGATGTTTTATTTATCACTCAAATGAAAACTGTTTGGAGACTGGTCGACACCAATACCTAGTTTGATCATGAGAAGGGAAGTGGTTGGGCAAAGTTCAAGCTTCATTTAGCTGGGAGGTTAAATCAACCCTGGCGGGTCAGTGACCAACGAAATAACAGCATGTATACGAAAGGTCCGATTGACCTTCGGCAACTCAAGCCATCTATAACATCTATGAGATATCTGATTGCCTACTGAGGGTCGAATTTCCATCGTGACCGTTTGCTCTGTTCTACTTTGCGGTTGCTACACATGGTTATTATAAGCAGAGGACGTGATAAGGCTTTCGGTGTTTAACCACCCTTGCCTGTTTAGATTAGGTGCAGCCGTAGAATTACCACGTCAGTTTTAGGTAAAAGATGTAAGACCATAAGAGATTGAAAATTTGCATTCTAAATGTTCTACGACTATGAGTTATTCACAGATTTTCACAGATGAGCATAACCACCAGCAAATGCAAACTTACTGCGCAAATGGGCCTCAGGAGAACGAAGTATTGCACGGTTCATAGCTGGTAGCACAAGACATTTGAAAACTGTACCATCACAACACACATTTAAGATTTGAGAACAGCGTCGCTAAAAATATGGAGTGAAGATTAATAAGGAATAAATGAAGTTGAAGTTAGAGCTCAGGATGTCACCAAGCCTGGTTTTGAAACGTTCATGACAAAATATCAGAGCTCAAAGAACACCACATAAATGAAGACATCTATTTATACGGACTACCTAAAATTCTCACAGATTCCCAATGGGTTTAGCAAATCCTCATGAAAATGATAAAAAATTGTTGAAATTGATAATATTACCATTTTGCGCAATTTGAATGGTCAAGTTTATTCAATTTCTGAAATTACAAATTTCTGAGGTTACAAACGGACAACTGACAACTTTGACCCCACTAGAAGAACATCTATGTATGTTCATATCAATAGCTTACTCTGAATCTTGACTGTCAGATTACACTCTAAATTCTTGTTGAGTGGTCCTATAGTTTTGTAGCGTCATACACTTCCCCAAAATCAATAGCCTAGGGTTTGACGACTTTCGACATTGATGCTGACCTTGATAGTTTAACTGGACTCGCTAAGCTGAAGGCACCCGGTCAAGCATCCTCGCCATTTGGCACGCTGTCGTGTTACGTTGCATTGCTCGTATTCGACTCTCTAGCCAGTTAGTTGGAACGCATCGGTATTTTGGCATAACCATCCAAATATACTATTCCATCCGACTACGCTATCGTGTTCTTCCTTGGTCTCGTATTCGTGGGTATATAACAAGTTCGAATAATTAGTGATTGGTCTTTGCGTCTGTCAAGTTCGCACCAGGACAAATCCTAAATTGGTGAGCCCGACGTGATCACATATCCCGACCAATAACAAGTATTGAATTGGTGAGCCTGTTCCATTTTATATTTGTTTATTGTTTTCATTTCGATAACATTTATATATCCATTTACTACACTTTCTCATGTCCGACCACACTCCCAAGCTTATTCGTATTAAGTCGACTACGAACACGATCCAACTCGTGCCATATTGGCCAGACAATGCAGAAACATGGTTTCTGTATGCCGAGGCAGATTTTCGAGAACAGGGTGTCTCAGATCCTCATTCTCGATTTCTTGCTGTCATACGTCACTACCGCGAGAATTAAACAGGTATGTTACAGCAAACATGTTTAATCCTGAAGTAAGTGACCCTTATGCACTTCTAAAGGCCGCACTCTTGAAGAAAAGCGATCTCACAGATCGCCAACGTCTAGACGAATTGTTTCGTAACATCGAGCTAGGCAGCCACTCAGCTACTGAAGTCCTCGCACGCATGCGAGAAGTAATCGGTGCACGAACATTTGACGATGGTTTCTTCCGAGAACTATTTCTCTCGAAACTACCACAACCGGTGCAAACCGTGTTGGTGACACTCCAGTCAGTCCCACTCGACGACCTGGCAGCCTCAGCAGATAAAATACTGGAGATATCCAGCAGACCAGTCTCCAACGTATATTCTATCTGCGACAAAACAGAGCGCCAGGATTCAGAGGTGACCAAGTTGTGCAACTCTGTGAGACGGTTGCTACGATCTCGAAGTCCTAGATCACGTAGCACTTCACGGAAACGCACCTTGGCGCATCGCAGCAAGTCGCGTGGTAGCCCTAAAACGAAACCCAACAGGGTGGAAAACCCTGAATGGTGCTGGTTTCATAACACTTACGGGGATGAAGCCAGAAAATGTCGTAAACCATGCCGTTTTAAGAAGGACCCGAACTCGGGAAACGGTCACGCCGGCACGTGCTCACGGCAACCGTAGCCGGCGAAAAAGCCGTTTGCTCTACGTCACCGATATTAAAACGAAAGTCCGCTACCTCGTCGACACCGGCGCAGAAGTTAGCGTTCTTCCAGCAACGACAAAGGAGCGTCATCTTGACCCATCCTTCAATCTTCAAGCAGCCAACGGCAAGGCAATCGCGACATTCGGGAGACGGTATGCCTACCTCAACTTAGGTTTACGCAAACCTATCCACTGGATTTTCCTCCTGGCAGACGTCTCTATGCCCATCATTGGCATAGATTTGCTAAACCATTACGATCTACTCGTAGATGCTCGCCGTCGACGACTGATAGATAACAGCACAAAGTTATCCATTGGCGGCACCACCTATGTAGGTCCGAGTTTAGCCATCGTTAGGACTAAACAATCAGACGACGCGTCCTACCAGGCAGTTCTGGAGAAATATCCAGAGTTACAGCAACCGAAGCACACTCTTCCGTGCATAACCAGCAATGTTATGCATCACGTCACAACCACAGGTCCACCTGTGGCATCCAAAGCGCGCCGTCTAGCCCCCGATAAGCTCCAAACGGCGAAAAATGAATTCGACCACATGCTCGACCTGGGCATTATCAGACCGTCGAACAATCCTTGGGCATCGCCATTGCACATGGTTCCCAAAAGGATAGCAGTGACTGGCGTCCAACCGGTGATTACCGAAGGCTCAACGCCAAAACAACTCCGGACTCCTACCCGATACATCAATACAAACCCTCGTATACTTTGCCTTTTTATATCAATTTTTATTTACCATGTAATGAAATTTTTAAAAAAACGGTAAAGATAAGCGTAAATTTTTATTTTTCGATATGTTGATATATAAATAATTCCCATTTTTACGCAACGTTTTCGTGGTATTAAAGACTTTTATTTATATTCCAGGTGCAACGAGCACTGGACGGAACGTCGAAAGGAACAGATGACCGCGACCGACGTACAATTCCATTTATTGTATTTTATTTATTTAATCGCCACGACACCCTAGAATAAGGTTCAGACAACCAGGGGCCACCTCACGCAGTCAGCCCATCGGAAGAGTTTTACCAGTGGAGAAACCACTGGGTTTTTACTTCCGGCTGGTATCGTCTTAGGGTCCTCACGAACCCACTAGGGGGGGAGTGATCTGTAGCGTCATACACTTCCCCAAAATCAATAGCCTAGGGTTTGACGACTTTCGACATTGATGCTGACCTTGATAGTTTAACTGGACTCGCTAAGCTGAAGGCACCCGGTCAAGCATCCTGGCCATTTGGCACGCTGTCGTGTTACGTTGCATTGCTCGTATTCGACTCTCTAGCCAGTTAGTTGGAACGCATCGGTATTTTGGCATAACCATCCAAATATACTATTCCATCCGACTACGCTATCGTGTTCTACCTTGGTCTCGTATTCGTGGGTATATAACAAGTTCGAATAATTAGTGATTGGTCTTTGCGTCTGTCAAGTTCGCACCAGGACAAATCCTAAAGTTTCATGACACGTTCAGGCCAATAGTCAGGAAGTTTGAACATCCTTATGGAACTCAAACCAACTAACAGTGATTTCACTGATCAGTACTACATTTTGCTTTGGTTTTCATGAATTACTTCCAACTTAATCCTACTACAAGCAGAGAGATACAAAAAAACGAAAATTTCTTAATGACTACGTGCATATTCATGCACTAAGCGATGAGCTACACCTACTAAGTAAGGTGATGATACTACCTGGTTGTCCGGAACCTCGGTAGGTGGATTGGGGGTCCGAACATGACCAACTGACTGAAATTCGAGTGCCTAGATAATTTTGATAGGGTAATACCTAACTCAACAATTGCATCAGTGTTGTTTCACAACTTAACTGACTGACCTACCTCTGATAAACAAGAACTAATATCCAACATGGGACGTAAAAATATTTCAAGCAATTATCTGATCTCCAGCAGTTGAGTTCCAAGATCAAGTGTTAAGACAGCGAAATTCTGTGCACTTAGCTAGCCATTTTATGAATAGTTGAGTAATTGGAAAATTGTTAGTTTTAAATGCTTTAATCATATGTTGATTTATTCGTGATTGTTTTTCTTAGTCTAAAAGTGATTCCGATAACGACCAAGATGGTACTCTTGATAAATCCCTATTCATTTGCTTAACATTAATGCGAACGGTACCGAGAAGCCTTAAACAGCAATGGTGTTTATGAAGCAAGGAGTGAAAGGCGGTAACGGTAGTAGCAGTCACAATATGGTTTCAGTTTCCGCTATATTAGTGTTTAGGAGCGATCGGAAATCCAAATGTTTGGAAAACCTAGGTTTCAAATTGGTATTCATGATAGACTGATATCAATAAATCCCCCAAAAACCCCCAAATCAAATTAATCTAGTGCTCATTAGTGAATAGCTTCGAGAGGTGATTTCCCAAGTTCTAATGAGAAGTCGTAACCAGTCCTAATGTTAGTGTTATAAGTTAACATATGAAGTCCAGTTCACCTAAAACAAAAGCTTTCACCATCGAAACCTTCAGTACATTATACACACTTCAACAAGTAGGTAATGCAAATATATACAAAGGTCCTAAAATAACCCACCAAGTAAACATACGTTACTTCTTGTTTTCCATCAAAGACAGATTTGAGAAGTTGATTTATGAAAACTTCCTGAAATAAAATGAACGAACTGTCAACTTTCTCCCTACCTTGTGTTCAGGTTTGAATTCAGATACTGGACTGTGACTAATGAACTCACACAGCTTCGAAACAATAGCCATATTAGTTATGAGTGGGCTAATTGATGTCAAATGTTGTATGACGCATACCAAGAAATCTGGGTTCTAGAAAAATTATCTTACAGTATACGAAATTACTTGATTCCATAGTCTCGAACATATGAAAGAACTCTTTTTATACTCCTTTCCCTTACATGTAAAGAGTACGTATGATGCAGCGCGGCACCAAATGTCAATCTGGAAATGAATATAAATAGACTTCTTACTGTAGCAGAATCTATGAGTTTAAAGTGTTCTTTGGTGCAGAAATGAATGACTTCACTAAGTACATAAAATGAATATACTGAGCTACTGAGAGGTCTAAAATCGAATATTAACCGCTAAAATACGCAGTTTTACCTTGCTGAAAAACTCTTAACACTCGGGATCCTAACCAAGTTTGTGGCAGCAGTTAAACATGCAAATAGATTTTTGCTACATGCAAAGCGTATAAACTTGATACATTCCGAATATTTTCTGGACGATTTGATAAGGGTGTCAACAGTATGACGGAATGCTTCAGTGAGACAATCAATGAGAATTTCTGAAGAATAATTAAATGTAATAAAGTACCTTCGTTTTTTTCCTCCCCTGAAGCGCATAAATCTTCATTTAAATCGTTAATCCATGTGTCGACTACCATCGCAAGAAACACGTTACAAAACTAGTAACGCAAAGTTACATAAAACCCTCCAATATACAGTTTCAGTTGTCAGTTATAAGGACAGTAAGCCAATTGGCCTGTGTTAATCCTTGCAGAAGATATCTCTGTAAAGATCTAGTTTCTCCTTTAACGCGTTCACAGAAGGTGCTGATACTACTTGTTGAGGTAAGGAGTTCCAGTCGTTGACAACACGATGGAAGAAATGCAGATTCACGTAAGTTGATTCGATCGCGGTTTTTGAATTTTCTTGTGATGTCCTCGGAGATAGTCAGTCCTAGCAGGAAAGAAAAGATAGGACATGTCAGTACCGAAGTCATTATTAAGAATATGAAATAACAGTATGCGACCACCCCGTTTCCTACTGTAAGACAGAGGGAATAAGTTTAGCTGATCTAGTCGTTCCTCACGGTTCAAAGACTGGAAGTAGTGGTGTACCATCAACTGGGTACTGGAAACGATTGCTATGACCAATGTGCATTATTGCACTTTCGTCACAGTTGATCTCCAGGCACCAAAGTTTAACCAGCCTACTAGTTCATCTAAATCCACCTGAATGGCATATCTATCTGCCTCACTGAGTATGGCTCTCTAAATCTTTGCATCATCGGCGAATAATAGTACAGAAGAGTTGAGCATGTCCGGCAATTCGCTGATATATAGTAAGAAAAGTAGTGGACCTGGGATTGTTCCTTGAGGAACTCCACTCATCGCGGGTTTCCACCCGGATAGTGTCCCATTTCCCCTTACTCTGCCTCCTATAGCACAGAAAGTCCCTAATCCAAGCCTACAATGAGGCACCAAACCAGAAGGAGGGGAGCTTTTTTAGTAATTTCACGTGCGTCACTTTGTCAAATGCCTTACTTAAGTCTATAAGAACGGCATCCATTGGCAGCTTGCAATCACGGGCTGCAACCGATTTCTCTCTTGCGATAAGGAGGTTAGCTAGACACGAGTGTCCAGAAAGAAAACGGTGTTGCCGTGATGCCAAAAGACTGGTTGATTCCACATGTTTAAGTACCTTATCACGAATTATTCTTTCTAAAATCCTAACAACTATGCTAGCTAGACTCATAGGGCGATGGTTAGACACCAAATGGCGACTACCGGTCTTGAAAACTGGGCTGATTATGGCATCTTTCCAGTCTCTAGGGGGGCAGGTCTGAGTTAGGGATATAGTGAAAAGATCCATGACCGGTTCAGAAATAGTGTCTACTAGCGAAGACAGAAGTCTGGGATGTGACCCATCGGGACCTGGGGATTTTCCAGGTTTGAGGTTAACGAGCAACTGTAAGACTTTTTATCTTTGTCGTGAACACAGTATCTATTAGTGGAGCAGTGCTGACATCATGATTTAGAACTTCATCGTCATGATCTACAGAGTAGACTTCACTAAAGTAACTAGATAGACATTCAGCCTCCGGCAGACTAGATTTCGCCAGACTACCAGGCTTCTCATCCATCGCCAGAGGCGGAATTCCACGTTTTCTTTTAGTCCTCCTTCTGATGAATGCGAACAATCTCATAGGACAATTTCGGCAATTCCTCACGGGCTGCTCCCCGCGGGACATTCGAGACTGTGTATTCAAAGTTTTGCAGAGATTACGGGCTTTACATCACTCAGTCTTAAATGTTTCCAGTCTAGTTTCTAGAAACAAGTCCCATAATGGTTTCCTCAGCCCTAATAGTTTTTCAGTGTCCTTATTAAACCATGGAGTTGAACATAGAATAAATGGCGTCGTTACCTCTCCAAACAGAGTCCTGAGCCTATTCCATGCTTTCTCAATTGATGAGTCCCTGACGACGGTCCAGTCCTTACTGACTGCACAATCCCTTATACTCAAAATGTCTGCGCGCCATACATTAGGTCTAGGGGAAGCAGCGTCATAACCGAACTCATTGGTCCGAAAACCAAATGATAGCTAATGGAGGGAAGTGTCGTAGATCCAGGATGTGTTCACATTGAAAGGTTCAAGCCGAGTCTAATAACGAAGGCTTGTGTTCGAGGCAGTAACGTGTTGCACATATCACGTTTTGAACCAAAGCAGATTCTAATATCGTCAAGGATGAGTCATTTTCGAAAGAACCACCCCATGGTGAGACTGCTAGCTCCGTCCAGTTTATGTGTGTAGCATTCAGATCCCCAGCTATTAGGCATCTGTTACTTCCAATCCAGTTGCGTATATGGATTAGCACGAAGTCGTTTGCAAAGCAGGATGGACTGCAATAAATGACCTCGATGGTACAGAAACCTTGCTTTGACTTCAGCTGGTGACTGGCCGCTTCCCAGGTCCGGCATTCATGTGCTCCAGAAGTGACTAATCGTAAGTGGACATCATCCTGCACATACAGTTGTGTGCCGCCACCTTTGAGGCCCAAAACCCTATCCGCTCATACACATTAATATCCTATGGGAAATTGCACAAAACTAAATCCTCTGTTAATCAAGTTTCAGTAAGAGCTACTATGTCAGCATTCGCTTAAAAGACCTCACAACTCGAAAATACACTATTTTAAGATCATTTTCTCCATTAGCTTGTCTAGCCTTAAGTTCGGCAACAGCTTCTTTTCTTTTCATGCGGTCATTGAGAGGCCGGTAAGGTCGGATGTGGGTATCCAAATTTCGTAGTTTGGATGAGTTACTCAAGAATACATCTACACCCACATAACCAGAGAGAAGCTGGTTTGCAGCAGCGCGTGTTCACGGTTGGTGTCAGTCCCGTACAGACTTTGCGAAACCAACATCCACATGCATCATATTGCATACCTTCATCCACTGGAAATTTACAGCTGCGACAACCACAAACATCATTGTCGCTGACCATGTTATTCACTGGTGCCATGTACTAACTGAAGTACTCAGTCGAACTTGCGACAAAGGGACCTAAGTTGTGACAACACAAAGACCAAACTTAAGCCTCAAAAAATGATTAAGCTTCAAACACTGACTCAAGTACTTCGGTTGAAGGTTTTTGAGAAAGCTCTTGATGTGGATTGCACGACAAAAGCAATAATGTCAAAAGCGTGGAAAAGTTCACTTCCTGTTCTCCAATATCTGTTTCAAACTTCAAACTTCCTGTTGTAGAACTAGTGAACGGCGGTTCCATGGGTTCTACGTTTGTCTTATTGGAGTACGTCCTGGGTTTGGAATGGTCACAGTTATCTTCCGGGATCCGAACAACCTGATAGGATACAGATCCGATTGTTAATGAATTAATGTTAATTAATTACTGCATCTGATCTGGGAAAGCTCCTCGAGTACAGCCCATCGGTGCGGCAAGACTCGAGGTGTGCGTCTAACCTCCTTTCAAAACTGTCATGGGATGGGGCTGTGACAACTGCTGAAGGAAGGGAGTTCCACAATTTACAGACTTTGACCGCGAGTTAGCACGGATCTTTGTGCGTGCCGTCCCTCGCCCCATTCTTAACTGGTGACACCTGAGGTCGCTTTTCAGAGTAAAGCTTAGAAGGGATTTGTTAGGATGGGGGGTTTATGGGAGATGCGGTACATCGTGATCAAGTCCCCTCTGATCCCCCGCATTTTGCTGCATGCAGCTTGAGAACAACTAAGTAGTCTGGGTACGGTTTGTACCGTGGCCCAATCACTTTTTTGTAGCTCTTCCCCGTATCCGCTCTAGGACGGCCATGTCCTCCAAGTACGGGGACATCACAAGTGAATTTTTCTCTAGATGGGGGAAAGTGTGCGGAGCCTTCACTATAGTGAAAAGAGAAGTAGTTAGACCCCCTAAGATTCACGAGAGAAACCTCAAGACTTCATAAGCCTTGTTGGCTGAAAGGCTACAGCGGGCTAAGGCTCCTAGTGTGGCACTTAGTGTAACTCTCAGATCTTGTTCCATGTTGGGGTAATAGATATTTATTCTACTCAAAGAGTAAGAACAATAAGGCCCTCGTGTTTGTCAACTCTCATTATCCGACACCTCTTTGAGTTGAGAGGAAGCAGGTTTTCTGTGGCCCAGTTAAGGATTTTCGTGAGGTCCTCCTGGAAGACTGAAATACTATTTGGTACCTGTATTTCTCCCCCACACCTTCAGATCATAGGCATACAATAGTGAACGATAAGCAAGGGCTCTCGAAAGGTCACTGATAAAAGCAAGAAACGGTGGTGGGCCCAGAACAGAACCTTGAGGCGCACCGCTCATCATCGGGAAACAATTAGATAGAGAGAAGCCAACTCTGACTGCAACCTGGTGTAAAGATGACCTTTAAGCCAAATTGATAACTTTCCGTGTACACCTATGAGCTGAAGCTTCTCACATAGGATATCATGGTTTACCCTGCCAAAGGCCTCAGAAAAATCAAGCAAACCAATGTAAATAGGCTTTTTCCGTCCAACAGAGAGAGTTTAGCTATTCCAACCCATCAGCAGATTGGTTTTGCATGACCTTCTAGGTAAAAAGCCATGTTGGCAGTCGTTTAAGATTGTTTTCTTAAGTAAGTGATCACGAAATGAGTTGCTTGTGACTTCTTCCTAGACCTCCGCAACTGAAGAGGTTGGGGAGACTGGTCTGTAGTTGGAGGCAAGTAGGTTGTTTCCACCCTTATATGTCGGGTCAACAGCCACCCGTTCCCAATCAGAAAGTAACCTGCCTTCCAGAAACGAGCATATAAAGAGGTCCGGTAATGGAGCACAAAGAACTTCAACACACCCTTTGAGTACTCTAGGGTGAATGCTATACGTTCTCAGAGGCTTACTAGGGTTCAAATTCCTCAACATTTCCATAGTTATAGAGGTTTCAAACTCTACATGGTTCAACCTCTCTGTGATACGGGTATCCGGCAGATGCTTGGTTTTATCTCCCAAATGGCAGAAGTTGCTTTCGAACTCATGAGCAGGCAATTTTCCTACTTCGGAGCTAGAGTGGAGGAACTCTAGACTACTAGGGTCCTGTAAACCCAATGAACTGCTACTCTTGTGCTTCAACAGCGAAAAGAGTTTCCTATGATTCCCCTCTAGGGTTCTA